AAAAAAAAAAAAAAAAGGTGTTTGCTCCTCTCCAGATAATAGTGGTAGAAAGAATTTGTAATAATGAATAAAAGACAGATATATGTTTCAGAGAACTCCTACTATTGCTCTTTGATTTACTTCTCATGTTAGCCTTGTACTTTGTTGAGACTGTGTTAACATTGGTCCTTTCTCTTAGGATATTTGGATATTTTTCTGAACATGATGTTTGAATTCTTTTCTTGAACTGCATATTGTGGTATTTGAAGCTTAGTTGAAGATCTTACCTACATTACAAAAATTACTTTTACATAGCTGAGCTGATAATTACAGGACACCTTATGGTAAAGCCATAGCTTTATGGCAGCTATTGTCTACATCAGTGCTATATGCACATCATCAGAAACACATAATTTATGAGATGAGAGACCTATATACCCTAAAGTCTTACTATAGTTATGTCTGCCCAAGTCAGTGACAGGGAAAAACATGAGTGACAATGTTATTTGTATTTATGATTTAAACATAGATGAACGTACGTGTTCTCTTTTGTTAATTAATCTTTTGCTCTTCTGCCTTTAATTGCAGTTCTAGGTATGCCTGATACAGTAGAAGAGATGTGTCCAGACCCCCCACCCCTTCCTTCTTCCCCCAGCTGTATATGCTGAGCTATGGTCTGGGATACCCCTTAGGTCAGTTGGGGTCAGCTGCCCTGGCTGTGTCCCCTCCCAACCCACTGTGCACCCCCAGCCTACTTGCTGGTGAGGTGGGGTGAGAAGCAGAAAAGGCTTTGGCTCTGTGTAAGCACAGCTCAGCAGTAACAAAACCATCGTTGTGTTATCAATGCTGTCTCCAGCAAAATCCAGAACATAGGCCCATACTAGCTACTGTGAAGAAAATTAACTATCCCACCCAAAACCAGTACAGTTGTATCCAAATTTTATCATTCATCTTAAACAGTGTAAGAGTATAATATGCAATAAGTTGTCAGGAAAATCATAGATTCATAGAATCATAGACTAGTTTGGGTTGGAAGGGACCTTAAAGATCACCTAGTTCCACCCCCCTGCCATGGGCAGGGACACCTTCCCCTAGCCCAGGTTGCTCACAGCCCCGTCCAACCTGGCCTTGAGCACTGCCAGGGAGGGGGCAGCCACAGCTTCTCTGGGCAACCTGTGCCAGTGCCTTACCACCCTCACAGGGAAGAATTCCTTCCTAATATCTAATCTAAATCTACCCTCTTTCAGTTTAAAACCATTGCTTAATTGTAGAGACCACTTCTTGCAGTTTTGTAGTGGCTGCTTATCTATGTAGGGAGATAATGTGGTTCTTCCAAGGATTTTTGACATAGGCAATCTGCTTTTTATTATTAATGCTTGTACAAAATAGAACTATGATCTTGAATTAGTCATTCATTCTTTGCATTTTAGTTTGCCCAAGGCAAAAGAGATAAAAGAATTCTTCCAGAACAGTCTTCTGACCGTATTCTGACACTGTGTACAAAAAAAAAAAAAAAAACCCACACAAAAAAGCCCCCAATGGTATTTTTATGAGGACTTTGTGTCTCAATCCCTACTTTGTTTAGCTTCTAAGTTAGAGACATGTGACTTGCCAAAATCATGGTATTTTAATTGACATAAGGTCGAAATACTTATAATCTCAATTCCCAATAACTAGCTTTTAATCTATCAATACACACAGTTGTTTTAAAGCTATATTCATGATTTTATTAATATGCACAGAAATATGTGAAGCACTATGATCTATATGTTTTCTAGAACTGCAGAGTTCTTATTAAGATTAAAACCATCAATTGTGCATTAATCATAGGATAGCTTATCTTTTTACTTATAGTTTATGCTCAACCCATCATCAGCAAAGCCAGGCCTGATCTGCTCAAAACTCACTTTATTCCAACACTGGAGAAATTGAAGAAGAAGGCTATAAAGATCGTGGTGGAAGAAGAGCAACTGAGAGCAGATAGTAAAACTGACACCCAAGAAGCTGAGCTACTCATTCTTGATGAGTTTGCTATTCTCTGTAGAGACCTTTATGCCTTCTATCCAATGTTGATACGTTATGTGGACAACAACAGGTAAATAAAAACTAATACTTGAACTCATATTTATTAGTTAATGTGCTGGAGTCCATGATCAGATAATCAGAAAGAACACAAGGCATTTAATGTTATGCTGAGAATCAGATCCTGAGTATTTTAAGATTCTTAACTTACAGAATGATATACCTTGAATTCACACCTTTTTCTTACATGCATTTGGCTTATTTGGTTGTACTGTAACTGCACTATTATAATTGAGAATGCATATCCCAACCAGAATTGTGCTACCACAGCCCAATGACATTACAAATGCATATGCCTTTCAGAAACTAAAAAACAGCTAAACCCTTTAACTGCTAATGAAGGGCTGAAAACCTGTTTTGCCTCAGTTGAATCACTCTGTTTGCAGATGATGACCACAAAGATGTTAATCATTTGTGTTGTTTTTTTTAAGACAGAAATAAAAAGTGTTTGGACAACATTGTATTGCCTTTGGAATTACCAGTTTTTCTCCTCAACCATTTAATGAAGGTTTATTCTGTGCTTACACTTCCCCTTTCATTTGTCCCAGAATGTGACCCCAAGATGCTCTTCAGAAGAATATCTAAAGTATTTTAGTCATCAGAACATACTGGGATAGTTAGGAGCATTTTCACTGCATGCATGATCATTTATGCTGTGAACTAATTTACACTGAGAATTATTTGCTTTTTATAGATAACTCAAGGCTTTACTATGTCAGACCTTGTTGGCAAGGAAACACTTTAAATTAAAAAAACAGATTTAACTGGGCTGTGGACAAGTTCAACTAGAAAGATATAGTTAATGAGCATAAGTTACAACATAATAATTATTTCCATGTCTGCTGTCAGATGCCTGCTTTATGTATGGTCATATTAATGCATTTTAATTTAGAGACATTTACAGGGGCTGCATTTGTTAGTTCATTTCCCGGAGTTTTCTGAGCATCTTTATGTAGATGGACCCGAACTGAAGTTGTATTAGTTCCTGGATTACAAAAATAAACCACATTAAGCAGTCCTTACAGCTCTACCCACTCACTCATTTCCCTGTACTCTTCCTCCTCTCCCCATTATAGTGTTTTCTTCTGGATCAGCACAAAATTTTCATAACAAAGTTTTATTAGGGGGGGAAAGAAAAAAGAAGATAAATACTCAGAGAAAGAGTTCTGCTTTTCAGTCAAGTCTGTTTTCTAGTCTGGTTCACAGAATAGGCACCAAAAAAATGTGTGGCGCCATGGGGAGGAGGAGCAGGCAGCAATAAGTAGCCAAGAATGGAGATGAGTTAAGTGGCCATGAAAAATGGTGTCTCTAACTATGGCCATGGAAAATTGAAGTGATTCTCATAAATTCCAAGACTGACCATACAAATGTAACCTGATCCATTAGAGATTGTTATATTCAGTCGTCTTATTTAAAATGTCTTATTTTAAATTTCTCTTGTTTTTGTAACTAGAGCCAATTGGCTGAAGAAACCAGATGCAGATTCTGATGAACTCTTTCGAATGGTAGCTGAAGTTTTTATCCTGTGGTGTAAATCACATGTAAGATAAGATGCATAATTTTACTTCCATTTCAGTTTGTCTTTAAATATAAATGTGGTACATGTGGATGAATGAAACTTTGGGTGATATTTTTTTCTTTTCATCTTTAGAATTTCAAAAGAGAAGAACAAAATTTTGTGATTCAGAACGAAATCAACAATTTGGCATTTTTAACAGGAGACACCAAGAGCAAGATGTCTAAAGTAAGTTAATAAAAATTTGTGGATCAGTTAAATCTTCAGCATGTGCTTAGTGTGTTGTAAGAAGGCTCTGAAAATCTACTCAGATTGCAGCTGTTGTGCTGGTAAGAAAAACAAAACCTTGGTGGTAGACATGACAACTACTATGCAAAGTACAGTCTATGTACCTTACAGTTATTTATTAAATGTCTGCTAAGTAGTCGAAGACATACAATTTAAAATAAAGGTCTTGAAAAAGATACATGTATAAGAGAAAATGGGTTGTAATATATAATATGGATTGTTGATCTTTCACAAAAAAAGAAAACAGGTAGACTATTTTATAAAAGCAAGTGAAGAAACATTGGTTGCCTGATCTTTTTCTTGTGAACGTCAGTCAGGATTGTTCTGTCAGTTTTGATGGAAGACTGCTGTCTTTGCATATACCTCTTTATTCATATACATAGTGTGCCACGTGTGCACTATTTTTCCTGTTTCTTATTAATGACCACATTAATTTCTTTTTTGCTCATTTTCAATATGACAAGATGCTGACATGATGGCTGGAAAGTGCATTTGTTACCTGTATAATAGAAAAAATGCATGTTGTCAAGGTAAAAAATGCCTCTTTGACATTAGCTGAGGAAGACTGCCTTACTCAACTAAAGCCAGCTGAAGTCTAATTCCAAATTAGCGGTGGTAAATGTAGCAAAGAACCCTTTGGTTTATTCATATTTGTAATGCATTTGGAGTAATCCTACTTTGAAAGTGTTCCAGAGAAGTGGGGGAGTTTCTTGTTCTGTATTTCACTATATTTTGAATGTCTGTAACCTAGCTACTGTAAGTCCAGTTTTAGACAATAAAGAGTCAGATAAAATGTGCCATTATATTTCTTCATTCTTTTAAATTTTTTAATTATTTTAAAAAAAGACGTTTGCTTCTCTTCTATTTTAAGTTCTGAAACTTAGTTAAGCCAAACCCTTTCCATACTGGAAAGTTTACAAGCAAAAATATCAGATTTTCTGCTCATCATTAGTTCATGACTAACACTAAACAACAATTTAAACTATATAGACAATTCCAGAATTTTGAGAAAAGGAAATTTATAATATGATTCCTTGTTTTCAAGATGCAGCTCACTGAGACTGTATGATAGAATAGAAATGTTTGTATTCCTGTCATTAGCAAGATGAGTAGTGGGCACAGCCAAGGCTATTTGATGATCAGTTGCACAATAACAGAGTCTAACGTGTAGCGCTGTACTTTTATGATATGGCAATCACTACACATACATTTAATACAAACACTTTGACATTATGTGTTAGAATTGGCCTGAGGAGCCAAGAATTAGGTGTACTTTTTTTAAAACATGACAGATTAGAATCAGGTGATTCACATTTAGTCTAAATTGTGTCTCACTCCATTACTGATAATAGGATAATATGATGTAAACTGTTAGTGACATATTTTAGTCAGTCTGGCGTGACAGGAATGACAAAACAAATCTTTACAAAATAAAGAATATGTATCCCTCATACTGCTCCATTTTGAATAAAATCACAGGACTTTAACATCAAGAATCTATATGTCCCAAAACTGTAAGAGTTTGGTTTTGAGATTACATTCTCAAATGCCTGTTGCCTATATTTAAACATACAGATATATTGTGTATAAATACGTAAATGTTCTTTTTTTCATATGGGTATACAGTACAGGGAGATTTTTAATTTTTTTTATATGCGTATATTTTTTTGTAAACATTAATATCAAATCTTATCATTCAGGGACACTGCATGGTTTTTGCTAATATAGGAAGAAATAAAAGAACATAATTTTCATGATTTAATATTTTATTAATATGATACCATATCTGCAGGAATGATTGAAGAACAGTTGATCATTTAGGTAGGCATTTGTTTCACGAGTTACAATACATAAGGCATCTTTTAAGGTGTTCTATTGGTTTTCTATATATGGTTTCTAAGCAGGAAATGGATAACATTTCCTAATACATAATGTAAGTGCCCCCAAACCAGTGCATTCATTAAAGCATGCATTTAGATCTGAATATACATTTTTTTTTTTAAGTCTGCATAGTTTAGAATAAAAAAGAAATTCTCTAAGTAACTGAATTTCAGGACTTTTTACAAGGGTTGATAATTATTTATATCATCAGAGAATAATCAGTAGAGGACATTATGTTAAGGAATATGATTTTTATAATTTTGGATATAATATTAACTTTAGGTCAGCAAGTAGTACATTAACAGAATAATTAGCACTTTTCTCTTCATCACCAGTTCCTCTTTATTCACATTTTTAGTGGAAGCAATCATATCCTGTATTTATCAAGCATGAGAATATGAATATGAACATTGGCTATTAACAGTTGGCCCAAGACAGAGCAGTTTGGTGTCTCTTAAAGTAGTAAAGCCCATGCTGATCTCAGACTGCTTTAGACAACTGTCTGTCTTACAACATAGACTTCGTATTTTTCCTAATATACAAGATACTGTGATAGTACTAGTGTGTAAGGTATGGAAGGTCCTGTATCTTTACATGCCATATGCAAAAAACAAAACAAACAAACAAAAAAAACCCACCAGAGGATGAAGGATTAGGATTAGATTATTTATCATTAGCTAATAGCAGGGATAACAAATGATTCCTTGTTACAATCAATAAATTAAGTACCCATTGTGTTTTGATTATACAATATTAACTTTGATATTTTCTCAAATAAATGTATTAACAGCTGAGCAAGTTTTTTAATTTTTCTTTTCTAAAAAAATGGCAGCAGATTGCTCGGAGGGGAATGGTAAGTTAGAGAACTTTCAGTCTGAGAGAGACTGGTAACTTAGATTGCGTTGAAATAACAGATTTGTGATAGAAGTGTTGAAATGGAGAATTTAAACACATTCAACTCTGCTAATCTGTTATTTTTGAACCCTTCATAGTTTTGTTGATAAAACAGCATTTTGATTATGATTCAATGACGTCCTATTGTGTTTTACAGTTAATTGGTATAAAAGACTAAGCGTATACATATACATGTACATAATAGGTGTGTAATACATATGTGGGCAATTTTTCTGTGTAAGTTTTAGAATCAAAAAGAATGTCTGGCTGGATATATAACCTCAGTTGCTAAACACCTGCATAACCTACTGAAGTTTTATTTGACTGGCCCTCATAATTAATTTTTTTGTATATATTTTTAAAAAGCATTTCCATAGACCTATTATAGAAGTTTGAGGCAGTCATAAAATCCATTTGTATTATGAAACAACATTGTGATTTGTGCCCATTTGTAATATGTAATACATATTAGTTGCAAATTTATGATAATTAGAGGATTTCATGTTAGTATTTTCTGTAATAATTTTAGATCTCTTCTTTAAGACTATTTCAATTGCATAGAATATGTATCCTTTAGATATACTGTGGTAAATCATGAGTGGATTACTTTTATGGTCATCTCTAATAAATGAAATATAATTAACATCTTGTCTTTACTTACCTTCAGTGTATATCTGCTGAGCCATGTCTGTGCAGCATCTACATATTTCAAGCAATTGAAATTTTCCATTAAAATTTGCTGTTTGTCTGAGTAAGATATTGAAGATTCTAAGATGCTTAACAATTTGATGATTAGTCTTACAGTCTTTCTTGATATGTAGCTGGTTTTCTTCACTATGTGATATAAATATAGTAGGATATAAAAAGAGGTTTTAAAAATAGCTTGTCTTCAACATTTTGAGGCTAATTCAAGAATAGAAAGTTACTATTAGAGCTATCACAGAAGGAGGGCATTGTTTCTATCAATGTTTTTTTCTGTTTGTTTTTAATCAACAGTTTTCTATAATATTTTCCCATGCCTGGTCATGGATTTCTTTGAGTAACTTGATTTTTTGGCCATTTTACCATAACTACATGGTTCTGTTGTTATCTTCTTAAGCTTACCTGACACAATGATAATATAGTGTTGACTATGGAATACATGTTTGTTTAAGTGTATTTATGGTAAAAAAAAACTGTGTATGTATGAGAGTTACAGTTGAGTTTATAATAGTGTTCTCAAAATGGGTACTGCTGAGAGATATGAGCTTAAGTCAAGTTTATCTCACGCTGTCTCCAAAACAGTAATAAGCTATGCACTGGGAAAATATATCTATAAATGCTGCATCTTCACAGTGATAGTTTGATTTCCATTTCTAAACATATTTTTTTTGTCAATCATATTTTGGTGGGTAAAAGAGGTAGAAAGAGCTATTTTGGTGAAAATGTGAATATTTTTCATTACTGGACCATGCAGAATTCCAGACAGTTTTTTCCTTTTAACAACAGAAGTAGTGCAGTAATTAGCATATGGATTTGATTACTAGATGTACTTCCTTATGTGCTGAAGAAGCAAATTGTAGTGCTGAACAGCAACAGATAAATTCAGAAGTTCAATCATTTAATAGGGATTAAGCTGAATTTGATTATACACTTACAGACTATTGTTTTAGCTACAAACTTACTTAGAATATTTTTATTGTCCTGATAAAGTTGAGTATGTTTATTACTAACTTGTAAAATTATCATCTTTTCATCTCTTTTACTTACGTTTTTTCCCCTTTATTTTTCTTTCATACAGGCCATGCAAGTAAAGGTACAGGTCAAAGTGCATGATGTGTCTTTGTTTCAGATTTAGAGATGATCAGGCTCCAAGCATTCTTTCCATTGATCACAGCAGTGGCGTCACAAAGTAAAGGCCCAGGTTCCACCTACTAAAAATTTTCTCCAAGTAAAAGTGGCAGTAATGGACCAGAGCAGCTGGAATTCCCTTTGGCTCTCTCACATGTTGCTTAATGTGAAAATGTAGTAAAACTACTTTTTCCTAATTATTTAAGATGTACATTCTGCCTCTGCTGTCTTTCTGCATTCTGACTTTTTGGTAATATATTGTAGCAGACATTGTAATTGCAATACCTAAGTAGAGTCACCAGAAACATGTATTTGGCTTGTGATGGTCAAGAAAGATATTCAGGATAAATGTGCTATAAACTATACCCTGTCTGTAGATGAATAGAAGATTGTATTAGAACTAGTAAGTTTAGATTAGGTATAGAGTTGAAATTCTACCTTTTTCCAAAATTAAATGTTCTTTACTAAAGATGTGAGGTGTGACAAAGCTTTTGAATAACCACTGTGTCTTTTGTGTATTTAATGTATTCAAAGTGTTGTCTCCAGTGAACCATAGTCCACCTTCCTTTGCATCATTCATATTATCTTTTTAAAATATGAATTTCTAATATAGATGAGTACTTTCTGACCTATGGTGTGTTCTTCATTGGGGAAGCAGAGTGAACAGCAAAATGGAGCATAAAACCCTTTCATCTTTCCTTTCACCCTGTGTGCTGAGAAGCACACGTGATGCTGTGAAGACTTTTTAATCAGTGAAATTGCAGGCATAAGTTAAAAAGTGAGCAGTTGCATTAAACTGATTTCATGCTTTGCTACTGTCAAACTTCCTTAGGTATCTAGAGTATGATTTAATAAATACTCTCATGATAATGTCAGAAAATTTTAGGTTTAAGGAGGGTTGGAAATACTAAAAATATTAATTCCATCATCTTAACCATTTTTTCCTGGTTTTTTTTTAGTATAAATAAGTTCCTTCTTCTTTCTGATTATATAATTAATTATTATGAATCTACTGGAGAATCTGTAATTTATTTTCTCTGTATGTTTGCTGAAGGAATGTCCACTTGTGTGTTTAAATCCTCAGACAAGTAAGATCGTTTTGTGCTGTTAAGCAACAAGATTGTATCATTCTTCTTGTTGAGGTCCTTTTAGCTCAGTTACTTATTTAGGCAAAATATATCCAATTTAATGCTCTTTAAGGTATTGTGTTTACTCATATAGATGTATATTAGAACTGAAAGAGACATAATTTTGTTGTCATTTAGGTTTCTGTCTGTGACTATACTTATACATTTATCAGCAGGAGTTTTGAATTCACAGACAGCAGAATTTGATGGCAAAGGCAGAATGGATCTTCTTTTCAAGTTTTAAAAATATTCAGGTTTTAAGGCTCACTTATCTTGTTCATACCTAGTTATTAATCTCAAGTGAAAATAAAGAAAATTGGATGTATAAAATGTCCTCAAGCATAAAGATGCAGAAAAGTAAACCAGTATCTCCTGTTCTTTTTTTTTTTTTTTTTTTTTTTTTTTTTCCTATTTGGTATTCCTTATTTGAGATGCATAGTGACGCCACTGGAATATAGTGATACATTGTGGGATTCGTTTGTCTGTTGTCAATGTAGAGTACAAATACTGTCATTATTATAGCCATTACATCACTGCTATTTCTAAGGCACTTCCAAAAGCAAAGCTTTGAGGCAAAGTACTCTCTTGCAATTGTTAGTTCCTTAAGAAAGGAAGCCACATCCATTGTGTGTTCCCTCTGACCTGCCAAGTGCTCAACACCAGCTACGTACACAGAGATTCACCATCTAGAAGACAGAATTTGCCAAAATTTACCACTGAATAGAATATTTGTGGCTGCCGTTTTTTCTTCCAGTGATCATTGTGATAATTGGTAAATAATGAATTGCAATTGATTCTGCTGTATCCTTATGTGGAACTACACAATGTATTATAAAAACAGTGGTCAGTAAAAATTAATTGACAGAGGGAAAAGGATGTGGAGGGTTAAATGCAAGCATTTGCTATTTTGTAGTGTTGTATAAGCCTGGAGGCCTAGTCCTGAAATCTTATCTTGGGCAAAACTCCCCTTGAGTGTAGTAGGAGTTTAATCTAGGTACAGAATTCAGAACTAGGCTATTTTTATGTTGTTGTTGTTGTTTACCATATGTTCATTAAATATATGAGTCTGTTCTAAAAATTTTGATTCACTGTCTCAAAAATGAAAAGTTGTGTATGAAATGTTGTACAGTGTCTGTTCTGAGAAGATAGGGCAAATGTTACTCTGTTGTGCTGTTTACTTCCCTGTCTCTTTTGTTTTCCTTTTCCTATTACTCATGATCTTCAAAGATACAGAATACTTAATTTTTCATCCCAGATTTTCTTTTATTAGTCAAAGACAAAGGGCAGTGCTTTTCCCAAAGGCATTCATTTACTGGCATTTATTTGAATTGAATCAAAGCCCTTTAGATACTGGTATTTTTCAGTTGAGACAAATCAGACAATATTAATTCATTCAGATGCTGGACAACTACCTTTATGTAAGTTTCTAACAAAAATATAAACATCCTGAATTTGTCTCTATAACATTGAGAACTAACAGTGTCTCCTGAGACTGACTCAGCTTTTAATTTTGGGGCTGTTTCTATTTGAGAGGTAAGATCCAGAAAATATAGTTAGATTCATATTTATGACTGCACACAAAAGTATGTTACTACTATTAAAATATTACTGTTACTGCAGTCTCTGCACTGGCACACACCAAAAGTATTCCTTTACATTTCCTGCTCAAGACTGTACACCCTTCCTCTAATGCAGAATTTTAAATTAATAGTACTACAATACATCAGGAACATAGTTTCCTTGGACCATTAGGGGGAAGAGCATGTTGGAAAAGTGTGTGATCAGAGAATTACAGTCATTTACGTTTCTATTATTTTAATTATAGTCTGGAGGACAAGATCAAGAGAGAAAGAAATCAAAACGTAGAGGGGATTTGTACTCCATACAAACATCCTTGATTGTAGCTGCTCTTAAAAAGATGCTTCCCATTGGTTTGAATATGTGTACTCCTGGGGATCAAGAGCTCATCTCTTTGGCTAAGACTAGATACAGCCATGTAAGTGTATACTTTGTAACAGTTTTTAATGCAAAATAGGCAGAACTTTATAAACTGAACTTTGAGGCATGGATATCTAAGCAGTCAATATAATTAAATATATCGATGTACTCTAAGCAATTATAGCTGCTAATTGTGCTTTCACGAGAAAAAGTGGTGTGTATAGACAGCTGCCATCATTTCCATCTCATTTTCCATTTGTATACAACATACTTTTTTACATAGGCATATTCATCTGGACCAAATATTGAAATACCATTAGTTAGCTTTAATTCTCTTCAAAGTTTAATCCTTGTTTTTTGGTCAAAATTAAGGAAAGCCTTTGTCCTGTGCCTTTCTGGTAACTTACGTACTTTGAAAACAGAAGAATTTCAGTTTCAATATTAAAATAATAGCTTTTCTATGTTATATATGTTCTTATGAGATGAATCATAACCTGAATTGAAAAGTACTTCTACCTTTCTACAGAGGGATACCGATGATGAAGTCAAAGAACATTTACGTAACAACTTACATTTACAGGAAAAGGTAACATAAATAAAATCTATCTTGAAGATGCTGATGTGCATTTTTAAAACACAGAAGTCATAATTGGTTTGTTTATCGTCATATGTGAAAAACAAAGAGAATGTGAAAAGCTATTAGAAAAATTGCTATTTTAACATTTTTCTTCATAATTTTTTCATGACAATAATTAGTTTATTTGTAGCCTTGGGTGGTACTTTTCAAGTTTCAGGAAGTCCAATAGAATGGGACAAGTGTAAAGAATTGAGATACTGATAGTTTTAAAGCTATTATTATTTAGAATCAACTTGATCCAAGAAGAAAAAAAAAACAGTATTTCAGCTTCCCTTCTTCAACTTAATTAATGGTTAAGTAGTATTTTAAGAATATATGCATTTTGAAGTGACTATGATATCGAAAAGTTTGTGTAATCTTAACACGTAAGAGTTTAACATGCACATTTATGTTCCTGCTTTTTATATGCTGAATACACAGTCAAAGGTGATACCAAGTGGCTTCCTCATAATTGTGTAGACATAAATAATTTAGATCATTGCCTTCAGTCTTTGAACATAATAGGAGTAACAAATCTGACATGGGAGATGACTGTCTGGTTGATATAAATTTGTGCTCACATAAATTTAAATTGGACACACTAAGTAATTCTAACGTACTTTTTCTATTTCTGTTTTGCAAAAAACCCAAGACATTTGGCTGTAACTCTTCACCTGCTGAAATTCCAGCTGACTTTTATAGACTACATAAAACAGCTTTCCGCTGTTGGTAGTGAAGTTCTGCAAGGAGTTAAACTCAATCTCCATACTACGTGTGCTTCCTTATTTTTAATGAGTTAAATGGGATACAGAATTCCAGGGTGCTTTATTTGGTTTCATGAAATGAAAATACAGAACCTTGCTTAAGAATTAGTTCGGTTACCCAATGAAACACAGAACCTAATGCCATTTTCCTGAGCTGCTAGAAGATTTTGACTAAAAGGGGACAGACGAAGTGGGTATAGTTATAATGTTCTTTATTATACTGAGAGAATAATAGTGGTGGTAGTCAAATTCAGTATCTTTATTCAGCAGTTTACATACAAAATATGTTGGTTTTTAGTCTGATGATCCAGCTGTGAAATGGCAGTTAAATCTGTACAAAGACATTTTGAAGAGTGATGAACCTACTGACCCTGAGAGAAATGTGGAACGTGTGCAGAGAATATCAGCTGCTCTGTATCATCTGGAACAGGTTAAAAGTTAAATGTCTATACTGTGTTTTAAAGTAGCTTGAGTTCTTTTTTCCTTGTAGAGATTATTTTGACTTCAGTCATGAGTGTCATTATTAAAGTTTCCAGATAAAAATTATTTTAGTGCATGCATTCATGTGCACAGACATGCACGTACAGGTGTCTGAATATGCAAAGCTTTTAATGTAATCCGTTGGAGTGCCTCAGTTTACCTTCAGGGAAAGCTCAGGATGTATTTACCTCTGCAAAACTTTGTGGACAGTTGCAAGAAGTATAGTATACAAATCATTACTATTCAGTAGCTGCAAAATCTGTAATTTTAGGAACGGATGTTCGTATGTGCACTTATTTTTAATACACGGGTTTTAGCCCATCTCCTATTTCTGCACCTGAGGATGCTGTAGCAATGTTCAGATTGGTTGTCTTTTCATTTAATTGATAAAATTTAAATACAAAAAGGCATGTGTACTCTTCCCACATAAAGTTAATCTGTTTCGTTCACGAGTGATATAGCACAGAAATTCATTCACATAAACAGTTGAATACAAGTAGTTAGAAACAGACAAAATAGCTGTTTTGGAATTTTACCAAGGAGTCCCACACACGAGATACTTTGGCATCTTGAGTTTTTCTGTGTAAACTGAGAGGTGCTATATATAAGGTCCCTAGTATTTTTTCTTATTAATTTAAAAACCAAAAAAAAAAAAAAATAGAACTCCCAAAAAAGCATTTTTTTTCAGATGATGGGGAGCATTTGTAACATTTTCTAATTTGCTAACTACGTTAAACGCTAGCTAAAAAGAAAGTTTTGAATAACCACTGAAAATTTTCCATTGTATGTACTAGAAGATATTTTCCCATAGGTTGAACAACCACTGAGATCAAAGAAAGCTGTTTGGCACAAACTCCTGTCAAAACAACGCAAAAGGGCTGTTGTTGCATGTTTCCGAATGGCACCGTTATACAACCTGCCAAGGTAAATGGCTTACAGGTTTATTTTTTCATAACTTTTGTTTACATTTCTGAGTGCAAACATTGCTTGTGTGTATACCTACAAGTTTGTTGATCGTTAGGCCTATGTAATTTTGTTTGAGGCAAAAGAGTTGGTAAGTTACCGGCTAATTCCTCACAGTAGCAAAATACTTGTCTCGTGACAAATAACCAGAGGGGGAAAAGACCATAGGAATTACACTGCTTCAAAACCAAAACGCTTCATTTTTGTCAGCTGTTACTCTGTATAGTTCCTTGAGTTATTTGTGAAAATTCTTAAGATGTTGCTGTTTCTGTCTCTGATTGGTTGCTCTTTTTACTCTTTATTCTCCTGTGTTTGTATTCTTTTCTCTTTTTTTTAACTTTGTATGGCTATTCCTCTCCTATTGCATGAATGCTTCATGGTCTTTATCTTGCCTGAGGCAATCTCTAGCTCCTACGTCTGAATGTTATATGCATTAAAGTGGCTATAGGGGCAGAGCAGTACAGAATAATATTTTGGATTTGTGTGTTGCTCTGCATCTTAATCCAGTTGAATGTAGATACCACAAAGTCCAAGATAAAGTGCATCCTTTGCCTGGAGCCATATACTGCTTTAAACAGAACATTAAGACCATGCAGCACTGGGGTCATTTACTTTACCCTGTACCTTCTCAACAAATCTGCTTTTTATTCAGATACAGCCTAAGCACATCTTTAAGTTTGCTTTTCACCTTATTCTGCACTTTTTCACCTTTCATGTTTAATGTTTTTGTTCAAAGATTGTTTGCAAATTATTTAACAGAAGAATTGCATTGCATTTTTAAATGCCTTTATTAAAGCCAGTCTACATGCTTGATGTTGGCTGAAGATCTGTAGCTGTGCCACTAACATATTGGAAGAATATTAGGTTTGCACAACACAAGAAGCCAGGTATACTGTAAAAAGGACACATTATTCCTTTTACCAAATATAGTAATTCTGACTGTAATAACTTCTCTAAGTTGTCACACTAGCACCAAGCAATCTTTAAAGAACCAGAGAACTGAAAACGTTTAAGTACAACATAAAGCAAACTGGCTAGCATCAACCATTTCATCTTCAAGCATTGTGTTTGGAAAAACAAGAGGAAGTGCTATGAAGAGCACCCATTTCAGTATAACATTTTTGTGAGCATTGGGTTTTTTACAACCATATGGATTTATCACTTCTTAAAATGTTTGGAATACGTATAATCACCCAGATGATCAAAGTGGTTCATCTTACTTTTGCCTTTAAAATAAACCCCACATTTATCTATTATTTTTGAGGTTGATGGAACACTTGCCAAGGGGCAAAATGGGTTATGAATCTGTATTTTCGTTTTCAAGAAAATATGGAGTAATACTCATTGAAGTAGAACATTTACATTATCTGTAATTTTCATTTAAAACTTTTGTGTGTTAAAATATTGAGGTTAGTTCTTCTCAAAATTTATGGTAGATTTTGTGGTAGAGTTTACTACTAATTTAAATAGGAATGTGAGGCAAATCTTTCCAGTTATTTTATCTTGTAGATTCTAAAGATGATCTGTCATTAAAATATTTTAGCCAATTAACTGTGGTATCTGCACTTCAATACGGGCAAGAGTGTGACACTTCAAGCTTAGAATCATAACATCATAGAATGGTTTGGGTTGGAAGGGACCTTTAAAGGTCCTCTAGTCCAACTCCCTTGCAATGAGCAGGGGCTTCTAGGTATATTGCTTAATGGATAAGTGCAGAACAAAGTTTTAAAATTAATTAGTTTGTAGACATACATTTTTAGATAAATCATAGGATTCTGATGGGAAAAAAAGGCTATCACAGTATTATGCACCTATAACTATCTCCATCATTTAAATTCATTGTGTTGTTAAGACATTTCTAGCAGGGTACGATTAATTCTAAGAGCTATGTAAATCCCCTGATCCAGAGTTTCAAGTGCAGCTCTCCTTATCTTGTATATTTCCTTATTTTAGTTGTAGTTTTATATTGGGAGTGTTAGTTCTAAATTTGATGCTAGAATCAATTAATTTAAAGGGCAGTAAGCAAGCATTGTGGTACCCTTTCACTTATCCTAGAAAAGATTAATATCTTCCGTGAATAATGAGCTCTTTTATTTGAATGTTTTCTGGAGACTTAGGTGTCTTTTAATATAATTTAATGTTAAACTCATATTTTAATCTAATTTTCTTCAAAATGCATTCTTATATGTATCAGTTCTAGGAATTCCAGTAAGCTATTTCAGAAATTGAAATGTCTATTCATGTGGAGGTGTTTGTTAAATCATAGAAAAATGACTTTGACTTCTATTGTAGAAGTACTCCCTTTTCTGAGAAGTGCTTGGAGATACAAAAGAAATAGTTCTATTGTAAAATATTTTAATTTTTCAAGAAAAAAAAAATAAAAATCAGTTATGTTAGGAAATACTAATTCTTCATGTTCTGTGTTTAATGAATGTACATGGCTTTAAAAAGTGTCTTATGTGATAAATGTTTCTCTGAGATGTGTGGTTTTTATGTTTGACGTCTTAAGCAAATTAATTTGTAAAAAAATTCATCTTACTGTCTGTCATCTGTATATGCACATAGATACAGCGAAGTTGTACATGGCAATTTTTCATACACAGTTTACAGATACATTCTTTCTGACTACTTTATTGAATTTAACTTGTGCCTTTCTTCAATGAAAACCTATATGCTTTTCTTCAGACACAAAATTAGCAATTTCTTCCTGAGCACCTTTCAACGTGTTTGGCTGGAAAAAGTACATGAAAAAACTCAGTATGACAGGCTTATACTCAAGTTAACGGTAATGTAACTTGTGGAGAGCCTCTTGCTTATGCGCACACTTACTCCTTCCCAGCCATGATTTGATGTTATCATAAAACATGAATTTGTACAATTTTCAGAGGGGATTCTGATTGGTCAGTTTTTGAAATTTGAAAACAAAATGGCACCAGTGCCAGCAGGAGAGCCTAGAAGGTTGGCTCAATAGCTATTCCATTATAAAATAATAATTCATGTGCACAGTGTTTTTAAACACATCATGGTGTATACAGCCAATATGTATAGCTTTTGTTAGTGGTGCAGGATAAAAGTAAATGAAAAGGCTGTGTGGAACAACCTTCATACCTTCACATTGTGCACATCGAAACAAAACTTCTCCCCCAAATGTAATGTAAAGATGCAATGGTTTGGCAATTATTATGTGTAGTCTTATTGCCATGAGCTGTGTTTTCTGTGGAAAGTTAAATGAATTAATACTGAATATTAGGAATTGATATGCCTAAGAGTTTTCTAAAATTAGTCATTTTCTAGAGCAAGTTTTGTGTATTTTTAATCCAGCTTCTTTGAGGACACATTAACACTTCCCTGATTTGGAACTGAAAGAAAAGAAGCTGAGGTTATGCTTCTCTGTGGAAGAAGGCAATGATTGTCTGCAGATAACATGCTGGAAATCACTTCATTATTATTTTGGTGTTGATGGCCAACTTCTGCTGTCTCAATGTCCTAAATCTAGTAAACTAGATTTACATCTCACAGGTGTAAATCCCACCCACTCATTCTCAGTCTGTTCAAGTGTGTATTTTTCCCATGCTTTCATTAAGGTTTCAGTCCTGTAGTTTCACATATAATGTATATTAGCACTCCCAAAGCCTTCAAAACAAAAAGTAATATATACATGTGTATTTAAAAAAAAAAAAAAAAAAACATGCAGATTTGTCACTGAGTGTTAGTTATGTTTTGTATTTTGTTTCACTGACCAATCAGAGGATCAGAATTGTACAAATATGTATCCTTACTAATCATTAACCACCTGAGCTGTTATACTATGTTCCGTTACCCCTCTTGATCTCACTTTCACAACCCCCCCCCCCCAGGCACCGTTCTATTAACCTCTTCCTCCATGGCTATCAGAACTATTGGATAGAAACAGAGGAATATTCATTTGAGGAGAAACTAGTTCAGGATTTGGCTGTAAGTACTGACATAATTGGGCATATTTTCCACTGCCCACTTCAGTGTATATTTTATGTATCTCTTATAACCTATATTGAATTTTGGTGTACTGTATGCATATGCATAAACTTATAAAATATTAATCCTTATGCTTCAGGGCATAAGGTCATTTTCTGCTGTGGTCAAAAAGACATTCACCCTGTGATGCACACTGAAGTGCATTAAGGTAGTTTATGCCTTCAGACAAACTATGTGATACTCATTTTTGGGAAGAGAAATGGATTAGATGAAGTGTCAGACTATTTTTTTCATTATGGTAATTCCTATGTTCCTATATTTTATTTGCTGGTTTTTAAAGCTTGACACAGTTGATCCTTTTCCCCTTTTTAAAACTTTTGTTGATGCATAATATTTAATTTTAACATTTTCAGCTTTGATACAAATTAATTTTGCTGTTTTCTTGTTGATACATTGTAAGGATAAGTAAGTATACGCAGCCATATTCAGCAAAAATTTAGTTTACATGTGTATTTGATAAAAGTGATCAGTAAGCTTCAGCTTTGTTACTTTCATTACTTAATATTGATTCAGAAAGAATACTTCTTTTTCTCTTCCCTCTCTGTAGTTAGTTTGTCTAAAATACTTCCAAGGGACCTATCACCATGGTATATAAACACCATGAAAATTAATATATATCTTCATGGATAACATGAAAATGCATGAAGGCATCAGGAGATGTTTCAGTGTTAGCAAAAGTAGTCATGTTGTGCTTTTTAAAGACCACTTGTATAGAAGGTTGTATAGATCTTTTAAAATGTCAGCTAATATATTCTTCTCATATTCTGGACAATTATATGGTCACAGTCTTTGTTTGACTTGTTGTTTCTTTCTAAAGGAAGGAATGAGACCATTAATCAAAAAACTAATTACAATTCTTTCAGATTTACTAGAGAATTAAATTGAACTTCTGTAATTACAATTATTACTATAATTAGAATAATTCTATATTAATTACAAACTCTACAAAGGGGTCATAACACAAGTAAGGTAAAGGTGGTGGCTATCTTGCATTTCAAACTGCCAAAAAATGTTTGAAGTTGACTATAAGAGCAGTCTTTACATTTGCTGAATCAAGGTTACCTAGAAATGATATATGAAAGTATTGTACTAAACAGTAATCTGAACATGATGTATGACTGATGACATTATTAAAAATAGTTCCATTTACCAATAATTCTGCTAAATAATTGATCCAGGACTCTCTTTCAATTGCAATCTACTGGAAACATGTAATTTCTGCTGAATAAGGCTTCCCTAAGATTTTCACTGTCTCATTCTCAATACCTTGCAAATGAGAAACTTCTAATATTACTATCAAATATGAGTAATAATCAGATACTCTCCTTCTGAGTCATACAGGCACATAATGTTGCAGTTTATGCTATAAAACTGCTGAATAAAGTGAATACTGGAGGTTAATACAAATTGGACAGAATAAAATTAATTAAATCCTTTCCTAAGCTTAGTTATTCCGCTTTTTTCTTACTCATGAAGCTTAATTTGTATATTCTGATATAAATCTTGAGACAGACACCTCCAAAAAAAGAGGAAGAGGAAGAGGAGGAGACCGAGAAGAAACAACCTGATCCACTTCATCAGATTATCCTCTATTTTAGTCGCAGTGCTCTTACAGAGAGAAGGTAAAAAGAGCTGTGTGAAAATGCACATTGAGTAAAAGGCACACAGTAATTGAATTTCTAGTAACAGTAGTAGTAATTGAATTTCTAGTAACATTACAGAAGTGATTTAACACAACTGCAGTTCATTATTGTGCATGGTGAATACTTTTTTGCCTCTCAGTTTCATTAGAGTTTTCATGTATTTTAACTTGATATAACCTTTATATTGACTATTTCTGACATTTTTAAAGCTTGGTAAATACCCAATACAGAAATAGCATAGCGTGAATTCTCATAGAAACAAAAAGTTTACAGGAACTGTTGGTTCGTTCAGAGTACCTGCCCTGGTCTATGGTGTTAGTAAGTGTGCGTTGTTGTTTGTATTCATTACATTTTATTCAGTATGTCAGAAAAGGTTTAATTGATGATTACTGTGTATCTCTTTCAGTGCCGGTTTGAATTTAGACAGTTGATTAGAATATGTATTTTGTATGAGTACTCCAGTGCTTCATATACTTTTTCTGTATGACTTACGTAATATTGCCATCTGACAGTTATAGTTATTCTATAATACTTTTTTGCACTTGCAACAGCCAGGGATCCTTGCTTATCCAACATGACTAAGTTGAATGTCCAAATATACCTCTAAATTATTTAATTAAAACATTACAGACTTGGTTTGAGATAAGAAAATACATTTATAATATGGTTTTTCAGTTTAATAGCATTTCAAATAGACATGTGTATTTAATGTTATTTAATAAAATACCCTTTCAGAAAAAATATATTTAAATATTAGTAGGAATATGACATATTTTTATTACTACATCGTAAAATAATTTAAAATATTTTTTACTTTTTATAGCAAATTAGAAGATGATCCTTTATATATCGCCTATTCCGCTATGATGGCAAAGGTAAATATATCATTTCAGTCTCCATTCCTCACTTCACTAGGGTACTTCCCATTCATTTCAGATGGTTTTTAAACCTTTCCCTTCTGTTTTTTAAGTGGACTGCTTAATACCAGTAACTTCTATATTTTTAATGAAGCAAAATACTGTTCAGAATTATATGTGTAATGAGAAATTTCTTACATTAATATGACAAAATTCCAGTAGGTGCAATCCTGTTGACACCACTTGGCACTTTGTTTTGTACAGGATTAACTCATGAACAGTTTCAACATGTTAATTATCTTCATTCTTTCGGTAATGATTTTGGAGTTAATATTTGAAGTCTGTCAAAAATAAGTTGACAGTTTTTGCAACATATTGATTACAGCCAACACACAAGGAGAGTTTCACTGTGAAGATAAATAATATGGATATAAATAGAGACATGACACAAGAACACATAGCATGTAGTTGTAAGCTGTATAAGGCTGTAGTTACAGGGTGTGTATGTAGCTGGACGACTGCCCTGAAGTACTCGTACATTAGGGCATAAGAGCTTCCTAGTGTGAATGAGCACAAATGTTTACAGTTACAGGGATTTAAAATCATCTTAATGCCTTTAATTATTGGTTTAATTCTTTCATCATATTTATAGAAATACTATAGTAAAAACAGACATTATGTTTCATAATAAGCAAAATCTTGTGATTTGTTTCTAACATAAAAAGAGCTGTCAGGAAGAAGAAGAAGAGGAAGAAGAAGAAAAAGAAAAAACATTTGAGGTGAGACTTGAAATAACATTTCTTACTCATTGTCTAATGTGCAAGTATTTTAAATATGTCCACTAGAATAAATGCAAGAATAACACAATGTTTATTGAGCTGGTTTCCATATAAAGGAAAGATGTTGTGATATGAAGTTTTGGTATCAAAAAACTCATGGATTATGGAGGCTGATGGCCTTCAACAACTTCAGAGTTCTCATATTCCTATTTTTCCTGAATCAGTTACAGTTGTTATCCTATTCTCATTTTTGTTCCCAAACCCAGGAAAAAGAAATGGAAAAACAGAGAACTCTCTATCAGCAAGCACGTTTACATGATCGTGGAGCTGCTGAGATGGTTCTTCAGATGATTAGTGCAAGCAAAGGTAATGTTCTGTGGCGTAGTAAAAGTATACAGATAAACATATGTATACTGCTATGCATATATTATAGAATCATAGACTGGTTTGGGTTGGAAGGAACCTTAAAGATCTCATCTACTTCCCACCCCCCTGCCATGGGCAGGGACACCTTCCCCTAGCCCAGGTTGCTCACAGCCCCGTCCAACCTGGCCTTGAGCACTGCCAGGGAGGGGGCAGCCACAGCTGCTCTGGGCAACCTGTGCCAGGGCCTCACCACCCTCACAGGGAAGAATTCCTTCCTAATATCTAATCTAAACCTACCCTCTTTCAGTTTAAAACCATTACCCCTCATCTTATCCCTACACTCCCTGATCAAGAGTCCCTCCCCAGCTTTCCTGTAGCCCACTTTAAGTACTGGAATGTTTCTATTAGGTCTCCCCAGAACCTGTTCTACTCCAGACCGAACAAGCCCAACTCTCTAAGCCTGTCCTCATAAGGGAGGTGCTCCAGCCCCCTGAACATCTTTGTGGCCTCCTCTGGACCTGCTTCAGCCGGTCCATGTCCTTCCCATGTTGCAGGCCCTGAGCTGGACACAGCACTGCAGGGGGGGTCTCACAAGAGCGGAGTAGAGGGGGAGAATCCCCTCCCTCGACCTGCCAGCCACACTTCTCTTGATGCAGCCCAGAATATGGTTGGCCTTCTGTTCTGTGAGCACACACTGCTGGCTCATAGTCAGTTTTCAATCCACTAGTACCCCCAAGTCCTCCTCTGCGGGGCTGCTCTCAATCCACTCATCCCCCAGCCTGTATCTGTGCTTGGGATTTCCCTGACCCAGATGCAGGATCTTGCACTTGACCTTCTTACACTTCATGAGGTTTGCATGGGCTCACCTCTTCAGCCTGTCCAGGTCCCTCTGGATGGCCCATCTCTTCCCTCCAGTGTGTTGACCACACCACATAGCTTGGGGTCATCGGCAAGCTTGCTGAGGGTGCACTCGATCCCACTGTCCATGTCACCCACAAAGATGCTTAACAGCGCCGGTCCCAATACTGACCCTTGAGGAACACCACTCGTCACTGGTCTGCACTTGGACATCGAGGCGTTGACCACAACTCTGAGTGCAACCACCCAGTCAATTGCTTATGCCCTGAGTGGTCCATCCATCAAATCTATGTCTCTCCAGTTTAGAGACAAGGATGTCGTGTGGGACAGTGTCTAAAGCTTTGTGCAAGTACAAGTAGATATCATCAGTTGCTCTTCCCTTATCCACAAATGTTGTAACCCTGTTGTATAAGGCCACCAAATTCATCAGGCACAATTTGCCCTTAGTGAAGCCATGTTTGCTGCCACCAGTCACCTCCTTATTTGCTACGTGCTGTAGCACAGTTTCCAGGAGGATCCGCTCCATGATCTTGTCAGGCACAGAGGTGAGACTGGCTGACTTGTAGTTCCCTGGGTCTTCCTTTTTCCCTTTTGAAAAACAGTTTCCCCTTTTCTAGTCAGCAGGAACTTCACCAGAGAGCCACAACTTTTCAGATATGATGGATAGTGGCTTAGCCACTTCATCTGCCAGTTCCCTCAGGAACCACAGATGAGTCTCTTCAGGTCTCACAGACGTGCACCTTCCATGTTCCTTAGATGGTTCCTCTTCTGATCATCTCCTACTGTGAGCAGTTCTTCATTCTCCTAGTCCCTACCTTTGCCTTCTCCATCTTGGGTGGTGTGGCTGGAACACCTGCTGATGAAGACTGAGGCAAAAAGGTTATTGAGTACCTGGGCTTTCTCTATATCCTGGCTGACCAAGTCTCCTGTATTCTTCTGGAGAGGGTTCACGGTTTCCATAGCCTTCCTTTTATCATTGACATACCTAATAGAAGCTTTTTTTAATTGCTCTTGACATCTCTGGCCAGATATAATGCTGTCAGGGCTTTGGCCTTCCTAACCTGATCCCTGTCTGCTCAGACATTTTCTCTGTATTCCTCTCAGGCTACCTGTCCTTGCTTCCTGTGTGGATGAACATCTTGTTCATCCACACAGGACTCCTGGCGTTCTTACCTGACTTCCTCTTTGTTGGGATGCATTGCTCCTGAGTTTGGAGGTGATCCTTGAACACCCACCAGCCTCCTTGTGCCCCTCTTCCCTCCAGGGCTTTAGCCCATTGTACTCTACCAAGCAGATCCCTGAAGAGGCCGGACTCTGCTCTCCTAAGTCCAGGATAGCCAGCTTGCTCTGCACCCTCCTCACTGCCCTAAGGATCTTGAACTGCACCATTTCATGGTCACTGCAGCCAAGCCTGCCCTTGAGCTTCACATTCCCCACGAGCCCTCCTTGTTGGTGAGAACAAGGTCCAGCACAGCACCTCTCCTTGTTGGCTCCTCTATCACTTGCAGAAGGAAATTACCATCAGTGCATTCTAGGAACCTTCTGGATTGCTTATGCCCTGCTGTGTTGTCCCTCCAACAGATATCGGGGTGGTTGAAGTCCCCCAGGGCTTGTGAACATGAGGCTGCTCCTCTGTATCTATAGAGGGCCTCATCTGCTCAGTCTTTGTGGTTGGGTAGCCTGTAGCAGACCCGCACTATAACATCTCCTTTCCCTGCCTTCCCTTTAATCCTGACACATAAACTTTTGGTCAGCTCCTCATCCATCCCGAGGCAGAGCTCCATGCACTCCAGCTGGTCACTGACATAGAGGGCAACACTCCCTTCTCATCTCCTGTCCTTTCTAAAGAGCCTGTTTCTTTCCATTCCAACACTCCAGTCATAGGAGCCATCCCAACAGGTCTTCATGATGCCAGTAAGATCGTAGCCGTGCAGGTGTGAGAACATCTCTAGCTCCTCTTTTTTATTCCCAGTCTACGTGTGTTTACATAGAGACATTTAAATTGGGCTCATGGATGAAGCTGATGTACTGCCTGGAATTCCTTTGTGCTGCTCTTTGGCTGTTCTCCTGCTGACCTGTAGCCCCTCTCTGGGCTCTAGGCATCTATTGGTGGGACTGGCATCAAACTGATAGGAATGGAATGGATTGAGGTTACCCTCCCTCAGCAACTTCACTTTAAAGCCCTCTTCACCAGTTTGGCAAGCCTGTGTCCAAAGATGCTCTTCCCCTTCTCTGACAGATGGACCCCATCAGCCCTCAGTAGACCAGGTTTCTCAAAGAGAGTTCCATGGTCTAAGTAGCTGAACTTCTGGCTGTGGCATCAGTCCCATAACCAATTGTTGATCTGCCAGATTCCACTGGCACTTTCAAATCCCTTCCCTTTGACCAGGAGGATTGATGAAAAAAAAATACCTACACTCCAGAGTCCCTTACTGCCACTCCCAGGGCTCTGTAATCTTTCTTGATACTCCTCAGACTGCTCCTGGCTGGATCACTGGTGTCACATGGAACAACAGCAGCAGATGATAGTCAGTTGGCTGTACGAGGCTCAGTAGTCTCTCGGTGACACCCCTGATAGGAGCCCCTCGTAAGCAGCACACCTCTCCGGAGTGCATCAGGTCAACAGATGGGTGCCTCTGTACCTCTCAGAAGGGAGTCACCTACCACTGTCATCTGTCGCCTTTTCTTAGTTGTGCTGGTGGTTACATGGGGAGCAGATCAGGCTGCCTTACTCAGCTCCAGCATCTCTCCTGATGTGATATACAGTGTATTATGTCATTACACCTATGATACATATGTGGTACATAATGAAAGAAAATAAATGTTAACCACAACTATAACTGGTAAAATTTCCAGACTTCTTTTCTGATTAAGTAGTCATAACTGCAAGTTTTAATGACTGTACCCTTGTTTTAACAGGTCATACAGGACCCATGGTTGTTGAAACACTAAAACTTGGTATTGCTATTCTAAATGGTGGGAATACCATAGTTCAACAGGTAAAGCTTTTCTAACTACTATGAGCCTTCCTTGTATAAAGGAGGCAATTAATTCTGAGAATTATAATGTGCTGTCATGCTTTTGTTTTACTGCATTTAAATTTAAGCTAAACAGTGAAGAAAGATCAGGGTATTTTTGGTTCAATGACAATGATATTATTGCTTGCCAGAGATTTGCATGTTGCATGGTAAATCAGGACATTGTTAATTCATATAATGTTAATATAGATTTTTTTTTTTTTTTTTCCCCATAAAAATGTATACCCACTAGAAAATGCTAGACTACCTGAAAGAGAAAAAGGATGCTGGATTTTTTCAAAGTCTCTCTGGCTTGATGCAGTCCTGCAGGTAAAAAGCATAAATTGTATTATTATACTTCCAGTTTTATTCAGGTTGGTGGCTTGTTGCTCAGTGCAGGTGGATTTGTAAGATTTAAATTATGGGAGTCACAGATTGTAGAACTTCTGTGGAAAATCTGTGTGAATCAGAGGAACAGTATGTCAGTCGTTTATAATTTCTTCCAAAGGAGAAAATAAAGCAAAGACTGTGTATGCCTTTGAAGGCTTAGTTCAGAGAGGCAGAAAAGTAAAATGTAATGGCTCCTTTACTGGTCCCAGATACCTCAAGTTTTCTTTCTGGATGGTTCTAAGGATGGAGAAAAGCCATTGCTGAGGGAGAGACAGGCCAGTGGAATTTTACTGAGCTTTCATTTTCTGTACACTTCTGATGAATTACATAATCTCTGTCTCTTCATCTGAAACCTCTGCACACCTGTCAGCTTTGTTAGAGATGGCATCTGTCCAGTGAGACTACGGTAGTCCATTAGCTTGATAAATGAGAAGTTCAGATTAGTTAAAGGACTTCCATAAAGAAGGTGGAAAACTGCTAGTGTTTCTGATTACTGTTACAGTAGACAACCTCCTATTTTTAGCGTTTTAAAGCAACAGAAGTGTTCTGAAGGAGTAGACTGGGAATTAGAAGTGGAGAAGCTGTATGAAGGCAGGAAAAAATGTGGAAGGAATGGTGACCTCCACTGCAGAAATTATCGCTGAGTAGTTGCAGCCTAGTTAAATAACATCTATCTTGTAATTTTCCCATTTATGTAGAACAATTTGGCAAGGACTTGCTCAAACGGGACCTGCAGAGATGACATAACCAATTGTTTATCTGTATCATTCAGAACTTCATTAAAAAAGGTTTTGATGAAATGACTTGAACACCAACAAGAGAATGAAAATGATGCTTTTAAAAATGCTTTTGCTTTTAATGATGTCATTAGATAGTAGAATATGTGATTGCAGTGCTGTTTAACTGAAAAAAATTAGATCATCATAGAATTATTTGGACTGTTTGAATGAAAGTATTCTGAGTGGTGAGAAGAATCATCATTGCTATTTCACATGCTGGGCTATGCCAAGCTAGCAAAAAAAAAAAAAAAAAAAAAAAACAAAAAAAAAAAACCTTGGAAGATATGGATTCTCCAATTATGTCATTCTGAATATGGAACCAGAGATTCCATACATCTTCTAAATAACATAATCATGTATAATATATACAGTAACAATATAATAGAAATAATAGTGAAAATTTAGTGGAAAATAGGGTGACTGAGAAATAACTGCAGTAATGTCCTTTTGGCAGGCAGGTTTAAGTCAATATAAAGAGGAATATTTCAGGTTCCTTTTCTGCTTTTCATTTACACATTAAGCCGTGAATGATGTTACTGGAAGTGAAGTTAGGTAAGAGGTAAAAATCTGAGCTGAGACTAATTTCAGAAATGGACACTGGACCCTTACTTTCATCCCAAGTTCTTTTATTTAATATTCATATTAAATAAAATATGAGGCAGTTCATGTCACAGTGGGGCAAGACTAGTAGTTGAAAGTGTCCAGAGATTTCCTATAAGAAAATAATTTTCCATTGTGTACTATAGTACTTTTTCCTCTTGTTTTTGTTTTTTGTTTTGTTTTTGTTTTTGTTGTTTGTTTTTTTCCCCAATGTAAGTGTTCTTGACTTGAATGCGTTTGAGAGACAAAATAAAGCAGAAGGCCTGGGGATGGTTACTGAAGAAGGAACTCGTAAGTAGAATGAAATTGATTCCAGTAGTGCTTAAAACATTATTTGTGCTTCCTTCTTTAACTAGAACTGTTATTTACTGTGCTTGAGGTTTCTGTTGATAAACTTACTAAAAAGTAATTCTAGGGTTTGAGTTCTGAATATGCTTTATATTTACAAAATCTTTAGCAATAATTTCTAAGAAATACATTGTAACTTCCAATATTCTTATCCTGTATTCTTGTTATTTTTCTTTGATCCACAGTCATCGTTCGTGAGCGTGGTAGGTTTGGGTTTACAGTTTTCGATACTATTGTTGCAAAAATGTGTTGCAAATACAGAAAGAAATCTTTCCTTGCATCTTCTCAGATATCTTTAGGTTTAGCTTTATGGTCTGCAGCAGGTTGTGTGCTCAGCTTGGATAAACAGTTTGACGCTTATTAAAGAAGTGTCATTCATATTTAAGGCATGATTTTAGTTATGACTAACCAATTACTTAGTAGATATATATCTTGTTGCTTTCTTTTTTATTTTTTTTTTAACCATGGATGCATTTGAAGTGCTAAATATTTTGGCTTTGCTTTTTCTGTCTCAGTTTTTCTTTTCATTATTATCAGTCTGTTTCTTTTAAATTGCTTTAACGCTTTTATAATACTGGTTTTTTATTAGAATTCCAGTTTTAAAAGTTGCTGTAAGATTATGTGTTCTGCATATTTAATCGTAACAGTTGTCACGTAATCATTGTACTTATATATTTTAAAGGTGAAAAAGTGTTGCAGCATGATGAATTTACTCGAGATCTATTCAGATTTTTACAACTGCTCTGTGAAGGGCACAACAATGGTAAGTGAACTGAATTAATTTGGGGGAAGATATGTGAGGAGTTTGTTCTTAGAGTTGAATAGAACCAATTCTAATGTTTTTTCTTCCAATTAATTTAGTTTTCTGAGGTGAAACTGGCATGTCAAAAATCTGAATTGTGGAGTTCAATTTGAATTTTTAAGTCTTAATGTAATTTTAGTTTTTATGCCAATTGTTAATAATAAAGTCTATTGCAAGTCATGTGGATAACAATTCTTCAGCTGTAATTACATTGTGATCTACTATAGTTCAATTTCTACCACATGAGCATCTGTACCCCACAAGGTACTTAAAAAGAATGTATTCTCCATGAAAATATGAAAATATACTTGTATTTTTTATTCCTATATATAGTAACCAAGTACAAATCACTTCTTATTTCAGATTTTCAGAATTACCTGCGTACTCAGATGGGCAACACCACAACAGTGAATATTATTATTAGTACAGTCGATTATCTCTTGCGTCTTCAGGTGAGCTAAAACCAGGAAAATGAAGAATAACATATTTGCCTTTCCTTCACTTTTACAAATTCACATTTTACTGGAATCAAATGTGAAAATGTATTCTTCAAAATAAAGAATTCTGATTTAATTTATTTCATATTTTATTTTAAAATAGATGACTTTCAGAGTTCTGTGTAAAACCAGATGTTTGTTGTTTTATTTCATTGTTCAATTCTGCAGAAAGCATAGTTAGATAAACACACAAAAAATTAATGTCATGAGAAAGATTGACACGGAAATACTAGATTTCATTTCCTGATGATTCAACTTCTGGTGATGCAAATGCAGGCAGTAAATATTGCATGCAGAATCCAAAATTATAAAATATAGCATTGTTTCTTTCTTAGGAATCAATCAGTGACTTCTATTGGTACTATTCAGGAAAGGATTTCATTGATGAATCAGGACAACGTAACTTCTCTAAAGCTTTGGCTGTCACCAAACAGATATTCAATTCCCTTACAGAATATATCCAGGTAAACAAATGTTTTGTTCAAGGTACTAACAGTGAAGTTCTATGATTATATGGCCTGATCATAAATTTGTAAATACTTTGGCTTTATTTTTCCTAATTTTTATAAAGTTACGTGGAACCACCGGCCACTGTAAAGTTAATACTAAAACATGTTAATGGCTGCGTATTTACCATGACATGATCTAGTATTTATGCACTAGATACCAAAGCGATCTTGGGAACCCTTCTCATGTAGCTTCATGGAAGCCTGAAGTTTCTTTATTTTTTCAGGGAGAAATCTTAGGAAATCAAATAGTTTTATTTGTTTTGTTTTATATTATTTTGTATAAGTAAAAAAATGTGTTTTTCTTAATTTTTTTAGGGCCCTTGCATAGGTAATCAACAGAGTTTGGCTCATAGTAGGCTGTGGGATGCAGTTGTTGGCTTTCTTCATGTCTTTGCCAATATGCAGATGAAACTTTCACAGGTATTTTGAGTAGTCAAGTAATCCTTCTTTCCATATGTTTATAAATTACAGTCAAGTGAATGTTGAAAGTTGTAGTTAATGTGCTGATACTCAGTGGTTGTGCATAGGCCTATTGTAATTTAGAGGTCCAAGACTTAATTTCAGGACTAGCAGCCTCATATCACTCTTTTTATCATTAATCATCACTGCGGACTCACCTTTTCTAATATCAAACTCACTGCTTCCAACTTATACCTTTCTGATAACGAAGGTGGCAATTTGGTCCCTTCCTCCCCATTGCCAAGACCTGATGATCTGTCAGAACAGAATCATCATTAAAAGCATGGTTCCCGTACTGCAGCTAAGTAGGGCAAGAGAAAAGTTGGGAAAGATTCAAAGAGGGAGAGAATGTGACAGCCAGTCAACTTGTCCAGTTAATTCATCACAGGCACTGAGCAGGAGGGCAAGAGGCCATGTTCATTTCACTGTGCGGGACATTGTAGAATCCCACCTCTCTTCACAGTTTCAGGCTTCTGTGTTCTGCAACTTCTGCTTAATGTACCCATACACTCAAGCCTTTAGGCACTGAACACAACAGTGCAGAGTGTTTTCCTCACCCTTAGGCAGCGTGTCTGCTACCCTCTAACTGACTCATAAGATTTCTTCCCACCCCACAGAGGTATATATGAATTTGGAGACTACTTAACAGTTTTTAGATCACAAATCCATGTTAGACTTAAGATTTTCTGTAGTAAAACTAAAGTTTAAACAGTTCTATCTCTGTTTGAGTGGCAATGCGTTATGCCAATAAATATTCCCTGTGAAGTGAGAAAAGATGGATTCTTTCTGAAAGAAATACTGCCATATCTGTGGAGTAACCAGTTTTGTGAGTTTCTGCTGTCCCTTATCTGCACTTTGGTACACCTTAATGCTTTATTAAAGCTTATCTTTATAGAATTAATACCTCTGCTGTAGTAAATTTCCCTAGTATTGTATAAGATTTCTGACAGTAATCATTATAAAATGACAATGAAATGTTGCTGAAGAATGTAAACTACATTTAGATGACCATCCTGCATAGTTTTTGTCTAAGTATATTTAGTTTTCCAGATAAATACAAAAGAACCTCAACCTTGAACCTTATACTTTTTTTTTTTTTTTTTTTTTTTTTTTTTTTCTCAGATTGAATTGCTTAAAGAACTGCTAGATCTGCTAAAGGATATGGTAGTGATGCTCTTGTCACTGCTTGAAGGTTGGACCAGTTTTTCCTTATGGTCAAATATGATTATTTCAGTTTCATAATGTAAAGTATGATAATTACATTTATCTTTCCAAGCTGTTTTTTAATTGCCTTTATGTAATGCCAGGAAAAAATCTTTTCCATATTTATTTGATGATTCTTTTGGAATATACCTAGTCATGAAAAAGAAGGCTGCTACAGAAAAGCATGTTGAAAGAAAAATTACAAAGATTTAAGAACATTTTTGTTCTGTTCTCAGCATGAATATGAAATGTATTTATTTAAAATGTAGTGATGCCAAATAACTTCCTGTTTTAGGTAACGTTGTAAATGGAACTATTGGAAAACAAATGGTAGACACGCTTGTAGAATCATCTAGCAATGTAGAAATGATTCTGAAGTTCTTTGACATGTTCCTCAAGTTAAAAGATCTGACTAACTCAGATGCTTTCAAAGAGCATGACCCAGATGGTAAAGGCATCATTTCAAAGAAGGAATTCCAGAAATCAATGGAGGCTCAAAAACAATACATACAGTCAGAGATAGAATTCCTGCTGTCCTGTGCAGAAGCTGATGAAAATGATATGTTTAACTATGTTGATTTTGTGGAAAGATTCCATGAACCAGCCAAAGACATTGGATTTAATGTAGCGGTATTGCTAACAAACCTTTCAGAGCACATGCCCAATGATTCACGCCTTCAGAGCTTACTTGAACCTGCGGAAAGTGTTCTTAATTACTTCGAACCATACCTTGGCCGTATTGAAATAATGGGTGGAGCAAAGAAAATAGAAAGAGTTTACTTTGAAATCAGTGAATCAAGTAGAATGCAGTGGGAGAAGCCACAGGTGAAGGAATCCAAAAGGCAGTTCATATTTGATGTTGTAAATGAAGGTGGGGAGCAAGAAAAAATGGAACTCTTTGTGAATTTCTGTGAAGACACGATCTTTGAAATGCAGTTAGCATCCCAGATCTCTGAAACGGATTCGTCTGAGAGGCCTGAGGATGAGGAAGAGGCAGAGCCTTGTTATGTAGTGGATATTGGAGATGATGAGGAAGAAGGAAAGTCCCTGGAATCTGCTTCAGCTTTTGCAATGGCCTGTGTTGCAGTGAAAAAGAATGTTGCTAACTTTTTTAAAATGGTCACTGTGAAGAACCTAAGAAAACAATACAGGAAAGTGAAAAAGATGACAGTAAAAGAGATGGTGAAAGTGTTTTTCTCCTTTTTCTGGATCCTATTTGTAGGGATGTTCCAACTGTTCTTCACCATAGTGTGGGGAATTTTCCAGATTCTTTGGAGCACTGTATTTGGGGGTGGCCTGGTTGAAGGAGCCAAAAACATTAAAGTTACCAAAATATTAGGGGACATGCCTGACCCAACACAATTTGGAATCCATGATGATGTTATGGAAGCAGAAAAAGCTGAAAGCACTGAGCATGGCATCAGAGCTGAACTTGTGCAGTTTGTGAAGGGTGAAAAGGGAGAAACTGACATCATCTCAGACATTTTTGGCATTCATACAAAGAAAGAAGGTGGCTCAAAACATGGTCATGATGCTGGACTTGGAGATATTGCAGAAATCCTTGGTACAGATATCCAGTCATCTTTAGAAAACACAGTTCGGAAGAAAAAGGGATTACAGGTATGTTAAAGAGATTTTGTGTTTCTTTGCAGAAAATAATAATAGTACTGAGTTTTCTATTAGTAAATGAATTATTTGCCAGTTAAATGACTAAAGAATGTTCTCAATGAACGTTATTTATAATCTGCACTCTTAAAAACAAACAGGAGTGTTTATATGGCTGAAAAATCCAGTCCAGTGTAGTTTAGCTTTCACTGCAGTAAATTGTTATTATTGTTCATTTGGACTTTATTCAGAACAAAAATTTCTAGCAGCTTTCTAGACAGTTCTTGCTTTAAATGGTTTGCAGTCTTGTTTATTCTGTGTACCCCTTTTTTTCACAGTATATTTCAATTACTTTTACGATTCGCTTTCTCTATAATGATGCCTTATCATTATCATCTTTCTTCTACATATACTGATCCCATACAATAAAATATCCCTTTCCTAGTATTTGAAAGAATTTTGCCTGAATTTATTGTTACTTTAATGTTCATCATATAATCATTCTTCACTTTTATAACCAATATATTTTGTTCCACTCAGCTGAGCTAAATAGAGTTTGTCATTCTGTTTACATTTAATTCAATACATTTTTAAAAACCCAAATGCACTTGTCGTATTTGGAAGTCATTACGTCTCACTCTACACTTCTGATCTGTTTCTACTTATTATTCAAAGATATCTTTCCTCTCATCATTAAACTACCTTTTATGGTATGCTTTCCAGATATTTTCAATATAAACCTCCATTGTACAACTTCTTAGTTCATTATTTCCTCTTCATTTGTATGTTTTTCTCCAAGATTTGTTTATGACCTAGATCAAACTATATTTTTTCATTTATTTTTCTTATTTATTAATTCATTTTTTTTGTGCACTTAAAAATGACAGTCTTTTAAAATCCTGTCTTACTTAGCATAAATGTAATGTGGTTGGTATTTAAAAATACTATATTAGTTTAAGGATTTTAGGAGATCTGAGTAAATATTTTGGAATTTTCTTCAACAATAATTGAATAGTTGAATACAATTTTGCTTCCGATATGACTAAATAAATATTTTATAATTTGCTTTACTTTGATTTATATATTTCTCTCAGATTTGCTTGTAACTATTGATAAAAATGCTCAGTAATTTATGGAGATACTTTGAGTCATTAATACAAAGCCAGATATACAATTTATCCAGCTTTTACTTTTAATATGCTATCTAGTGAATATTACCAAAATAATGTTTACACTAATTCTATATTACAGAAATTGCTATTCACATTGTGTATATGAACAGCTCAAGTAATCCAGTTAGAGCACTGGATATAACTATTAAGTAGAGCTCAAAGAAGGAACCAGCAGTGTAAGAATCAAAAATTCACTTTGGGAAGTCACTGTTTTTCTTAAGCATTTACAAAAAAAACCACCTCACACAAATGGATAGAAACAGAAATTTGCCTCTATATACTGGAAAAGCAGTTGTGTAGTGATAAGGTTAACATTACCATATAGCCAGAGAAATGACAAAATAACCTATGGGATTGTATATGATGAAGATTGTTAGGACATACTTTTTACTGTGAAGTTCCACAGGAATCTGTGCTGAGAGCCATGCAGGTTCATAAATAAGAAAAGAAGTGAGTAATCAGATAACAGAGTTTGCTGATAAATCTGTTATACATAGCAGTAAAATCAAGAGCTCACTGCAAAGTTCCCTTGAAATAGCAGATGAAAATCAGTGAAATTATGTATATGTGAGGAAAAGTTATAATTTTACATGTAAAATGTTGGATTTTGAGTTCATTGTTACTGCTTGGGTATGAACTCTTGGGAATATAATAGAACTGTACAGAAGTATTAGTTCAATGAAAATGTCAATCAACACATATGAGAAAAGCAAGCTGAAATTTTGAATTGTTCAAAAAGGAATACAGAAACACCCAGAATATTATTATTCTCCATGAACCCAAAGTATATCTGTGTCTTGAAGACCAGGATCCTCCATTTCAAAAAGAATGTGATAAAACTGAAAAAAGTTCTGTAAGGGTCAAAAAGTTACCAAAATTTGATTTGATATGGAACAAATGTTGTGTATAGAATTAAGTAAAATAAGGCTCTTCAGCCTGGAAAGGAGACAAATGAGAGAGCATATGATAGAGGGATGTAAAGGATGGATAGGGATTTATTAATTCTTCCCCAACCCTACCCCTCAGAAGAACTAGGTGTCATTAAATGATTGCTGAACTGCCTTCCACCAGCTTGGGATCTTAGAGGAAACTCTTTGTGGAAGAGATACACATGCTTCCATCACATGTACTAGATGAGGTTCCTTCCATCATGTGTAGTCAATTAGGTTCTACAGATAAGAGGTGTGATAAGAAAGGCAAGATTGATTTAGTAAATTCTTTTATCAATTCTTTCACTACTTATGTGTGAGAGAGAGGCATCCAGCTGAGTAGTGGGGAATAAGCTTAGATAACTGCATTTATGTATTAACCTGAAATGTAGGAGAATCCACCAATAGACAATCGGTATCTAAGCACTTAGAGGGAATACAGGAGAGGGTAAAGCATTAAGATAGTTAAGACTGTCAAAGTGAATGGTAACAAATTTAGACACTTTAGATTCATTTGTGAATCTAGGACTTCGGACCCTGCATCTCTTTAACTTCTAGTGAAGCTTAGATACTCAAACACTATTTGAGTTTAGTTTGGTGAACGCTGAGCCTAAAGGTGTTTGAAATCCAGGCCCCAGCTTCTTTAGCCACCTGTAAAATAGTAAATTGTTTTTTTCCTGATCTTAAGAGAATGTTGTAAGCACATACTTAGATGGTTGTGAGGTGTGCCACGAAAGTTTTAATGAACCATCAACCCACCTAAGAGAAACAGTTTGAAGAAAGCATTGTATAAGTTATTTAAAAATTTGTCTGTTTTCAATGGCATCAGTTGATCTTGACAAAGTAATTGGGTTTTGTAATATCTGATCTTTTCAGATTTTTTGATGCTGTCATTGTTATCACAGCATATCACTGATTCCTTGTTTCATATTTGGAATGAGGCAAACTGATGCTTTTTCCACATAACCAATCACTTCACTGAGTCTTTGTGAGTGACTTTTGTATTGGGGTATGATCTGGATGTAGTTACTTTCATCCTCAACTGGTAACATAATCTGTCTGATAACCATGTATAATTACTTTAAATTGTTCAGTCAACTGGGCTAGTTATGATATTAATAACAATATACTGAAAAAACACTATAACACTATACTGAAAATACTGAAGAATTCTGCAGTTTTCACTGCTAAAATCTAGTCTGAACTATTTTTAAAAATCTAACACATTAAAAGTGCAAAGCAGTATAAAATATATAGTGTGGTAATTATTTTATTTGTTTCATAGAAAACAGTAACTAAAGTTAACAAAATTTTATTTGAATGGCTTCATTTTGACAATTAAAATACTTTTTGCAGATATCTGAAATTGCAAAAGAAGCTGAAACAGAAAGAAAGGCAGAAGCTGAGAAGGCTGAGTAAGTTGTTTTTGCACAGCTCCTGTTTAATTCCTTGCTACTTCCTAACGCTAGGTAATTTGGCCAGGAAGAATCCAGGCACTGCTCAGTATTCAGAGCACTCTATGTACACTTTTGTCTCATCAGTATTTTGAGAAGCAGCACAGTTCCCAAGAGGTGGCAGACCATCTCAGTAGGCAACAAAAAAGGCAGTGTGATTTTTGTGGCCCTTGACAATTCTGCATACATAAATCTGTGGCCACTGTCTTTTTAAAAATTCCCATAACTACCTTTAAAAATGAGCATCAGGCTTGAAAAAAAAAACTCTGCGTCTTGTCATTACTGCTATTTACACTTTCCCTGCTACCCACTATAATTTTCAGACAACAGTAGTTGATCATTGAAACACAAGATTTGGCTAACCCAATAATTTTCATTATTGCTCTTTTATCTCTTCTCAAATTGTAAACTTGAGAGCTGATACATTCCTTTGTCCAGTCATCCTACATACGACAGCCATATAAACAACACTTAAAATGCTTACCTAGTCTTAGCAGCATCCTACTTTTAACGGGCATGCTGTCTTTCTGGACCTGTAGCCACATTGTAGGCTTGCAGTCTGATGAGCACCATTAAAAAATTGCAGACACATGCAAAAGATCCCCTAGAGATTCTTACATATTCAAAACTATACCTGATTTTTTTTTCATTGTTTTCTATGTTGTTTCATGTTTAAAATGCTTCATTCAGTGTCATTTATCTTTCTCCTCTTACCTACCAAAGTTAATTCCTTTAAGTGTGCCATTGGGGTCAATATTTTAGGACCAAATACATTTTGTATAGCTTGTATGAAAAGTATCCTTTTTTTTTTTTTTTTTTTTTTTTATTTGTTGTGTGTATGTATGCATACATGTGTATGTGCATATATGTATGTCATACATGGACAAAAATATGGACACATATGTATGCTTACATATGCATGCATTTAAATGGTTTGTTTTTGGTTTGTTTTTTTTTTCTGTTACTTCATTAAAGTATGCCATTAACACTATCTGTGATGATTCAGTATATTTCCATTTCCTATCTGTTACCTTTCAGGATGTGTCTAACATACTTCTTCACTTTAAAAGTTCCCTTCTTGCATTTTATTGTACCAGAACTGTTTTGATATGATTTGTCTCTCTCTCCAATCCCTGCACGGAAACACCCATGCATATGATTGTCATTGTTCAGAGCACTTCCAGTAATTACAAAGTGACTTACACTCTTCTATGTTTTCTTTGGTACTGTGTATCCAAATAACCTGTTGATGAGTGTTACTCAGTATAAGAATCTAACTTCAAAATAAGCAGTTTCAGGAACTATTTTATCTAGACCATATTACAATGTACTATTTAGTTGATTAATATTTAGACTGATCAAATGACCCTTATTAAAATTTTTGTTACATTATATCACTGCTGGACTTTCTTCTTTGTTGACTGATTTTGATCTCCTGATTTAGACAGTAGTAGCACCTTCAACACTGCTGCAGTGAAGCAATTTATAAATATCTAGGAATTTGCCCAAAATCTCCTGTGCAACTCATTTTCTTAATAGGCTTTTTCACCTCCTCTTTTCCATAAGCATGATCTCTATCTCTGTTATTTTATTTGACTTACTTTTCCTGTTCCCTGTTGTCTTCTCTTGTCTGACATGATTAATTCTCTCATGTATTTTTGCAATTTATTCAAATTGCGTTCAGTTTACAAATTTGAGTTTAAATGGCTTACATTTCTGAGGCCACAACAGGGACTTTTTTGGTAGCAGATAAACACATTCTTAGACACCCATCATATGATTCCTACTGCAGCAGTGCTGTGATAAAGTGAACCACATACGGCATTTTGTTATCCTCATGCCTTAAACTCTCAACCACCCTGATGCCTCAACAGTCTTTTTACATATATGCAAATGCAGCTTTTTTTAGCTTAGTAACTGAATTCACCTATTACTACATCCAGTCTCTATACTTAATTTTCATAAAGGCATTTCAGTGGTGCAGAGGGAATGATTGTCATCTTCTACATTCTTTGTAAGGTGCAACCCTCTGAAGCAAACATCCTGAAATTAATTCATTTCATGATACTGTGATTCAGTTATTATACTGTGTACCAAATCCCAAAAGCTTTATTTCTCCTCTTCAGCCTCGGGCTCAAGAAAGCACATGTGAACTCTTATAAGTTTTATGTTGCTTGTATTGAGCATATATGTGCATTGCTGGTTTTGGCAAACATCCACTGCACGCATGGCACAGTAACTTCTGCCTGGTTTTTGGCTTCTGACCCTTTTAATCTCCCCTCAACAACTCTATTCTTGCATATTGTTTGAAGGAAGGTCACTTTTTTTTTTTTTCTCTGGGTTTACTGTCTACCTCAAGTCTTTTACTTACAATCATTTTTCTCGCAGTGTCAAAATTAATTTTCAAAGCCAAACTTTGCGAATTAGAATCCCTTCTAAATGAATGCATTTACAATACAGAAGTATGGGTAGGTATTTTTGTTTAGACAATGTTTCTTCTAGCATGGAAGATGGTGAGAAACAAGATAAAGCAAAGGAAGTACAATCTGAGCAGCTAGAAGAGGGAAAAATGAAGAAAAAGAAGCGAAGGCATGGACAAAAAATTGAGAAACCAGAGGCTGTTATGGCTAACTTCTTCAAAGCTTTGGAAATTTATCAAACAAAAATGCTTGTAAGTTTTTCTTAAATTCTTTAAGAATTGATTTTTTTATTTCTGTAATAGAGAACACTTGTGTGATATTGAAGGGAGAAATATCATCATAAAAGGAACATTGACATGAGTTTTCAAATGACTGGCTGTATTCAGTCTTTTGTGATTTTTGTAATACTTCATAGAGTTATATGAATAGAGTGTTTGTGTGTGTAATTTCTCCTATCTTGGTCTAACAGGACAGCTTCACTTCTAGAGCTCCCTGTTAGGAGCTCCCTATTTTCCATAATCTAACTTCTAGAATCTCTAATTCTATTTTCTATAAGATTTTTCTTTGTTTTTAAAAACATCAAATGATAAACTCTATGAAACCTTCTCATGTAGTTTATTCCAGTGTTCTAGCATTTTTTTTTCAGATTTCTTTTTAGCAAGTTTTCCTTAATATTCTAGATCAGTCTTCCCTGTTGCAATTTTAAGCCCTTCTTACCATGAAATGGGGGAATAGGCTGCCAAGAAATGCCCTTGCTCATTATAACTGGTGTATGAAGGCAACACAGTTGTTTTCTTAGAAACCTTGCTGCCTACTATTCTTATCTTGATATTAGCTACAAGTCACCTTTTTTTTTTTTTTTTTTCAGCACTACTTGGCAAGAAATTTTTATAACTTAAGGTTTCTTGCACTATTTGTTGCATTTGCCATCAACTTTATTCTTCTGTTTTACAAGGTAAGATTATGTATTGCTCTTTAAATTTTTTTGTTGTTGTTGTTACTTTCAGAGGAATATTTAATGATGGTTTCAAGGCTTGTTTAATAAAGCCATTATTACAGGTCCTTCAAACATGAACTAAAGCATTTAGATATTAAGTCGTTATAACAATATTTTAAATTTTGTTACTAAAATTTGTGAGTTTAAGCCTATTCTGGTTTTGTTTTCATCAGGCTGAATGAGAACAGATTTCTTTCATCCTTTATAGCTGAGCTTGTGTTTCTAGGCATTTTTAAATTTACTCACATAACTCTGTTATTGTTTGGATTGTTAATCTTATCACGGAAAATTTGAAATCCAACTAATTCAAATGTCAAAACTGTTCATTTTTTTCTCTCATGTTTTAAAGATACTTCAGTTCACCTGATTATTCTTCATTATTATATTTCTGCTTTATCTGAAGAACCCTACTGACTACATTAATTTTTGACTGGGAAATAATTTATACATAATTTCAGAATCAGATTAATGTCTCAATTTCACTACATGAGCTCATATGTTTTAGTTATACTTGATTTCTTTCAGGGCTGAGGTTTGGCATGTTGGGGCAAGTTCTTGCTTTATTTAATGTCTTTTTTCATATTTTGTAATGAATTTAGTAACCTCCAATGAACATAAAATGTATATTTTTTCCTATTCTGTGTTTTTATGTGAGAGTATAATTCAGTTTTTTATTTATTTGCTCCATTTTCTTTGTTATCATTGCCAATACAGTTGTTGGTGACTGTTGTGAAGATATTTCTATATTGGGATTGGGACTTTGACTGGTATGAGCAGGCAGAAGAAATATAAGGCAAAAGAAGCCTTTTCATAGTGGACTACAGTTCTTTTTTTTATATCACTGCTGAAGTTATACATACATACTCTGAATGTAATCTTAGGGTTTTACCTGAATCTACTGAGTGGTTTCAGATTCTGGTGTATAACTCAATGATGCAAAGTAGAACATCTTCAGCAGCCTTCACTAATTTTATTCCTGAATCTTGACAGCTTCTATCCATGAAAACTCCCAATCCATAAAAGCCTCAGGATTTTTCTCCTTTCCATACAGATTTGAAGTTTGTAAGAAAATTCCTCCTTTACCTTTATCCTGGAATCTGGCCCTTTTGACTTTCCCCTTTTAGATATAGGGTGGAAGTTATGGCTTGGCATATTTACAAAATACTGTATTAATTTGTAAGCTCTAAGTCATGAAATATAAGTATATGAACAATGTACAAGTTGATTACATGAGAACTTTGTTTCTTTCTAGACTCTAGTATAATCAGGAACAACATAGGTTACAAAACAAACCCTGAATTCAGTCTTATTAGATAACCCTGTCATTGCTTGGTTCTTCCATTTTTGCATGACTTTTTCATTGTTTATTTTGGTTCTGCTATGGCACTGTTAAAGGAGAGACTTGTAAACTGTTGTATGCCTGTACTTGCTTTTTCTAGATTCCCTTTTCAGTAACATGAGATGATATGGAGGGTTCTGCTGTGAAAATGAAGGGCATTACTGTTCAAAGCTAATGCTCTATCATCTTCCCATGAGCAGGCTTTGCAAACATCATTTTTCATTTTAGTAAAGGAAAAGCTTTAAAGTTTGTTCTGTGTTTTCAATGTTCCTGATTTTCTGTCAGGTGACAGAAGAGCCACTTGATGAAGTAGAGGAAGATTCTAATCTCTGGAACTCTTTTGATGAAGAGGAAGAGGAGGAGGGCGTGGTGTTTTTTGTTTTAGAAGAAAGTACAGGTTACATGGCACCTGCTCTCAGAGCATTGGCAGTTATTCATACTATCATCTCCTTTGTCTGTGTGATTGGATATTACTGCTTAAAGGCAAGTTCTGAATCTTATTATTAATCGATTATTTGTTAAAGAACATTGACTATGTCCTAAAGTGATTTTTGCAGCCAATACTGGAATACCCATTTGTACCTAATTGTTACAAACTCTCACTGTTCAATAGGTAGATGTTTTCCTCATGTCTGGAGCATTTCCTCTGCTTGGTCTGGCAGAGATGGAGTCAACTTTCTTCATAGCAGTGTGTTTTGGATTTGCAGTTAAAACAGTGGTGGTAACACATCCACCTTTTGGTTATCACTGAACAGTGCATGCACAATGTGAAGGCTTTCTCTTTGCTTCACTCTCTCTGTGCATCCCCCAGTGGGTATGTTGGGAGGGGGCATAGCTTGGATGGGTGACCTGAACAGACAGAGAGAGATTCCATGCCATGTAATGTTGTGCTCAGCAATAAAAACGGGGCGTGGGGGTGAGTGAGCTTGACTTTCAAGGTGGCCATTGCTCAGAGACTGGATAGGCATTGCTCTGCTTGTGGGAGGTGGGAGGTGCTAGTGTGATAAGTGGTCATGTAGCATTATAAACGGTACTTAATGATGTAGGTAGATAGCATGGTTTCTAAAAGTATGTAAACCGTGACAAAGATGCCCACTGTCATTTTCATAGGTCCCTCTGGTTGTATTCAAGAGAGAAAAGGAGATCGCTAGAAAGCTGGAATTTGATGGTTTATACATAACTGAACAGCCATCTGAAGATGATATTAAAGGACAGTGGGATCGCCTGGTTATAAATACTCCGTATGTAAAATTAAATGGTTATGTGTAAACTGTTTATAAATATTATAGCTCATTAAGTTACTGATCTAGAATCTTTCCTGTCCACCTGCCACCTAGTTCATCTAAAAGAAAGGCATTTTTCACCTTATATTGGATGCGACAGTAGTAAATTCTAATGTGAAATCCTGTATTATCATTTTTTTAATAAATATTATCATAGCATGTATATTCCACCTCCTTTTCATTTTTCTAGGGTTTGCAACAATTGTGCATCTTACCTCACAAACTCTAAGACATTTCACATATTTGTCAATATTGAGAAGTTTTGAAAAGATAACTTCCATCCTTATCAGTGACTCAATTCCATATTCATATTGTATAGCAGTGCTCTTCTGCCTTTTTTTCCCACTTCATGATAACAAAATTTGTATATGACAAAAGAAGTAAATCTAAAATAGCAATCCCAGAATTTGAGTAGGTCTGACAGGCATTACTGTTGGGTTGTGTGCATTAGCAAATACTGTAGTAGTCATACACTGATTCTAGGAGACTCACCTGCTGTTCTGTGAGTGAATGATACAAATGTAGGCAAGAAAAATATTATCAAGCTACAGCAGTCTGTAGGAGTGACAGAGAGAAATATAGCAAGTCAACTCTCTTCTCTTGGAACAATGCCTTGTCGACAGGCTATTTTTCAGAATTTACTCTTTCAAGACAACTAGAATCATGTCTTGGTACTAGTATACCTAGGCTTAGGTTCCTGTCTTTCCCTAATAGTATCATAATTGAAGGACAGTAACAGAAAGCTGGAAAGGAGCAAAGTTATTTGCAAGTCACAAAGTAGTTGTGGCTAGTGTGTTCAGGCGTTAAGTATTTGATAAGAACAAACCAGCAAAAATAATCAATTAAGTGCATCAGAGTGACAACATGCTGCCAAATAGCCAAAATATCTATCTTCTCAGTCATACTCAATTTTTGTACATTATAAATAGTGGCCTTAGTACTTTCATTAAAATTAGAATGTCTAATCTCTTGAATGCTTTGTTTTCCTACACCTGAATTTTAAGAATTGTCCTTAATTCAGTTAGAAACACAGACTAACATGTGTTATTGAAGTTACAATAGAAGGTAACTGGGAAACTGGAGAGCTTGCTTAATTTTCAACCTGTTTCTTTCACTAGTGAAGCTATCTAGACATCCCGTAAGTTTATCCTTGGCAAAAACAAGCATGAATTAATGAGATATGTTGTCAGCTTATCCCAAACAACATGCTGTACAGCCTGTTCTCGGAATGCTGCACTATCTATTGAAGCTGAATAAAAGAGTAAGGCTAATTTAAGAAGACTAATCTTTCCCTCTGATGTGAACTGACTCTTGAGGTTTAGTGCAGGTATTGTACCATCAGGATAACCACTGCTGGAGGGTACCCAGTACTGTGTATATACTGAAATGTGCTTTCTATAAGTGAAAAATAAAGTAATTAAAAAGGAAAAAGAGGTATGCCGATAAATGTAGCACCATTAAATGTTTGTGGTAAAAGAGACAGTCACAAGCTGGCTGCATTAGAGACACAGTTTGCTTAAAATTCTGAGAAATTAAGGAAAGAAATAATATAGACCATTGAACCAGAATATACAGTCTGAGTCACTGGAACCATTTGCCTTTATCTGCATTAATTTCATTCAGAACTTCAGTTCAGAAAAATAAAAAATCAAGTACTTAGTAGTTGTTGGGAAGTTTGCCTCACACCCCAGCAGACCAGTGTTCTGGAATCTCATTCTCTTGATATTAACACTTGCTTTTTATTACCAACGCTGTCCTTTAGTTTAAGGAGTTTTTTTTCTGTTTTACCTTCTTGCATATTGGCTCAACTCAATGTTGAAACCAGGAAATGGGGAGAGAAAACCCTTAAATTTTGCAGTGTTTCCTACTAATTGGCATTCTTCAAAATGGATATAATCTAAAGTAAGACCATCACAATGAGGAATTCTTGGGCACTGTTTTTTGCAAAACCATTCGAGAACAGTATTTTTTTATGATCAAATTGAAGATCAGGGAAACATCACTGATAAGAGAGAACACTTTTCTTGCAGGTCAAAGCTGATGTATTTCCTAGTGTCTGTTGTAAAGATCTCTCCTGGATAAAACAATGCACAGTACACAATAGCTTTTCTTTTAATTACCGGTGTGGGCATGGCTGCTCACAGGCTGATGATGCAAAATACTCTTTAGCTGAACTGTCTTCAGCTTTAGAACTATGTTTTTTATCTTGTCTTGCTTTGGGACATCAGATCCAGTAACAATATAATGCACCTGAGAACAAGATTACCACTAATTCCTGTTTCTGCCAAATGATCTTCGCCATCTTCTAGGGTTTTTTAAATATTTTTTGAATTTTAATTTTATGTTGACAAACAGTCCACTGGTTCCCAAGTGTTCAGTATCTATTTGAAATGTAATCCAGTGAACTTAAAAATTATTTATGTTTAGAAGACTTTTATTCTCCTCTGAAAATCACTGTCCATATTGCTTGTATGGTAGGAGCAATAAAGTATTTAGGAGATGAATGATATTATAGCGACTACCCTGCTATTATTGAGTTGTTAGGCTCATTAGTTGATAATATTTAGCCTGCTCTTCTTTTGTAACCAATCATATTTATGGATGTGCAAAAGTGTGTGGGGAAGATGATACTGCAGCGAATGATGATTAGTAATAGCTGCTGTCCACACGAAAAGAAATTGTTCTCATAATTCAAAGTGCAGTGTGTGACTGAATGCAGTTGTACCAGAATCTGCAGTAATTTTTTTTTTTTCTGTTTTTTTTCTTTTCTCTAACAAGTTAAATAACTTGAAATATCTTTGCCTTATCTATGTAGGTCCTTTCCTAACAATTACTGGGACAAATTTGTAAAACGGAAGGTAGGCTTTTGATATTTCTATTATGTTAGTCATGGCAATAATCAATTATTCAGTTAATTCAGATATCTCTGGTAATACACTTCTGTACACATAAATATACAAATAATTGAAAACTGAAATTTGTTTCATGGAAGTCATTGTTGTGGTAAATGTCTCAGTGAACAGACAGCTGCAGCGTAGGTGGGAGGAGGGAGGAAGACAGAAGGCTGTAGTTTCCTTCCTAGACTCAGGCATTTGAAATAACTTTCTGCTGTCAATCAGCCACACAGGTCTAATTTACAGTCATTGTCATCTTTAGGATACAAAGCCCACTCATCCCCCTAAAAAAAGAAAAACATGCCATCTTAAATGACAGCAAATTATAGATAAGCTTTCAGATAATAGCCTTTAATGCTTCCATTTTTCTTCTTTATGCTCCCACTGCCTGGCTTCCTGGGAGTTCTAACTGTTCTAGTAGAGTTAATTGTGAAAGACTTTTTTTTTTTTTTTTTAAAAAATTCTGACAACTACTGGCTTAAAGTAGGGTGAATGTCACTGAGGTCTTTCTCTGAGCAAAAGCTCATGTTCTTCTATTTTTAGGTTATTAACAAGTACGGAGACTTATATGGAGCAGAGCGCATAGCAGAACTTTTGGGTTTGGACAAAAGCGCCCTTGATTTTAGTCCGGTGGAAGAGAGCGAACCAGAAGAGTCATCTCTTGTATCATGGTATGACTTATGAACTTCACAGACAAATTATGTGTTGGCATAACTTCATCATCAAAAAAAACCCCTGATTTTATATGGAAACAGTAGTGATGTTTTCCTCAACATGAAAAATTCAAATGGAGAAATCTTCCTGGTGTGGAAGTAAAATAAAAAAAGCTTTTTATTTGTTCTAAACCATACTTACACTTGTGTTATAAAAGTAAGAAAAAAAAATCACACAAGTTGATGCTGACTGATAGAGTTGGGCAATCTTTTATTTTAAACAGTAATCACTGCAGCACTGAATATTTCTTCAGGTGTTAGAACAGAGTTAGTTTATAAACCAAAGGACAGAAAAAGTATTGATAACAAATATTTAGATGCCAGTTATCTAGAAAAAATTCAGAGATGTTTTCCTGACTTTATCAGTGAAGATGGGAGTTTGAAAGTATCCAAGTCCCAAATGATTTAGGTTCCTACAAGAGTTCAGCTTCCTTGATACTTAAGGCACACAAGAAAAAGGATTTCTGTGCGTGTGTCATCTAATGGCTAATAAAATATTTAGAATCCTTCAGAAGGCATTAACTTTTCTTTTGGTAATTTTGGCAACGTTTAACACTAGACAGAACACGTATCTTCTGAATGCAAGCAAGTCAGGTTCTACATTTCGCTACTTCTAACACACATTTTAGTTTTTGTAAGTCTGGAATATAGCAGCATCTCTCCCACTTAAATTGTCCCACCAGTTTCAATGGTTTAGAAACTGTGTACAGGTGCTCAGAGTTAATGAATACTCTGAAAAATTAAGCATCCACATTACGAAAAAAATAGGTAATGTACATCACCACCTTCAGGAAGCAAAGGTGAAGTGCCAAACCTAGTTTGTTATTTGTACTTACAGAATTCAATACTTAGTTTTGGCATTGATGCATTTCAAAACTTTTGTATTTCCTAGGTTAAGCTCCATTGATACAAAGTACCACATCTGGAAGCTCGGAGTTGTGTTCACCGATAATGTGAGTATGTTAGGCTAGAATAATGTGCTTTGATTTACTCTAAACATGATTGCATGTTTCGTACTGTCTGCTTTTATTTTAAACAAATATACACAAATGATATTGCATTACAGAGCTGTTTTAAAATATTTTTTCCTATCTTATGTTGTAGCAAATTGCTTTATCTTAGAATTTTCATTTGTATTTTAAAGGGCAATATGCACCTCCCCACAATTAAATCAATGTCAGCATTTTGGAAGTTAATGGTGCATTAATTTAATTTTGTAGAAAACAATCTAGCAACCAAAGGTGTCTTTTTTAAAACCAAGCACAGTCTACAGAGAATTATCCTTTCTTATCCTTGAATCATCTGTTTGACACGGTTGGTTAATTCTTTTCTTTCATACCTTCTCCTTTGAAAGGACTACACTGATACTAAAATTCCTTTCTTTGTGAACCCTCCTTTTGCATTCCCTTGAGCATTCCCAAACAAACAAGAAGGCCAAGGTGAATCAAGTGATGATGTATAAATTCATTGTGCACTAAAAGCATACTGAGACACTGTTCTTCAGTAAAAGCTTTCACGTCAAAGTGGCTTCAGGTTCACTGCTTGTTAAAAGAAGCTGCATTATGTGCCTTAGGTTTTCTGGCTGTCCTGGTTGACGTGGTCTGAGACTTAAACAGAATAAAGTGTCTCAAGAGTAATAGAGTGTATTTTGTCTCCTCCAGAATCAGTATTAAAGTTTAAAGTACTGTGTAACAAACTCCCCAAATAAAACAGTTTTAAGGTAGGACTGTCATGTCCGGCTCAAACGAGGGAGAGAATTGACTTAGATTCGTAAATCCCCAACGGAGTGGACAACAGTGAGACAACAGTCTCAAAGTCCAGACATTTATTAATTTCCCACAGTGTACTAATTGGCTACACGATAGTTGACTGAGTATATAGTGAATTACAGCAAGTGATATAGTATGCCTTGTGTTAATTATATTAAGGAAAAAGAAAAAAAAAAAAAAAAAAAAAAAAAAAAAAAAAAAAAAAAAAAAGAAAAAAGGGAGAAATAGAGACCACCGGTCCAGGTTCCTGCATTGGTTCCATCAGAGTTTGTTGAGGATGCATTCATCTTTTCTTTTTACTCCCTGCCCACCCTCAATTTATGCACATTTTCCTTGTGTCCCTCCCCTATGTCATACACATATGTACATATCCCATGTATGGGGAGGGGTAAGGTGCTTCATGGGATGATGTAATTAGCACAATCTTCTTAATCTTTATTAGCATATTCGGGGGTGTCAACTTTAATATGCATTTCACAGATAATGAAGCAAAGGTCATTCACCAGACAGATGGCTCTTGAAACTTTACAAGGTGCCCCAGAGCAGAACCGTCCTGCCTTCACAGGGCTCCAGCTGCATCCTGTGCTGTCCAGGCAGCCTTATCAGCTCCAAACTCCACACTATCCACCCTGGGACTATAGTTTTGTTACTTGCGAGTGTTTGAGACATTCCTTGGCTTGGAGGGCCTCTGCTCCCCCACATCCCTTATCACTTTCTCAGGCTGTTCTTCTCAGGCCCTGTTTCACCCAGGCCTGGATTTGTAACTCACGAGTCCTCTCTCACAAGGCGATTTTGATGTTAATAACATATATGCTGAAGACTGCATTTAAATAGGTAAAGATAGAGCTCTCATTAGCAAAACTAAGCAATAAACACTCCTTAAGTGAACAATGGAGATGATAAGAGACAGCATAAGACGGTCTTTTTGAAGGTGTGAAATAAAAGGTATTACATTCAGACTGTGATTCAAATCAGATCATGATAGTATTACTTTATTGTGTAATTTGAGTGACTAAAAGAAATGCAGATTAGCACCTGCTAACATTCTGCCACTTTTCACTTTCTCTGCAGTCCTTTTTATACTTGGCTTGGTATACAACCATGTCTATCCTTGGGCACTACAACAACTTCTTCTTTGCTGCTCATCTGCTGGATATTGCTATGGGTTTCAAGACACTGCGAACCATCTTGTCTTCAGTCACCCACAATGGCAAACAGGTTAGTGCTATGTGCAAAGGTTTGAAAATGAATGCATTCTGTAACAGTATCGGAAAAAATATTATGGTACCTAGGAAATACTGGAAAGCAATCCATTTTGATCTTAACTAGATTGAAGAATAGATCCCACTGTGTTTTCTGCAGCACATTTAATACGTGTTAAATCCTGTGAAATTATAATAATCTATACCCAGAGACTGCTGATAGCTAAAGTTTTGTACACAATAGAAAAACGCATCATTTTAGAAGAATACAAGAATATGAATTACAACCTAACCAGCTCCCTCTCTGTGTTCAATGATGGACCGATTGGTGATAAATAATAAGAATTCACAATCTCTCCTTAGCTACACCAGTAATAATGACCTGGGAGCTGACATTTCAATACTTAGCTAGTAAGAGTGTGCTTACAGGTATGGGCATTCTGCATTGTGGGATATATTTATGTGTAACTTTTTCATGCAAAAATCAGATTAATAAAATCTACTTCCAAAACTTTTTGTTGAAACTTATGCAGGGAATCATTCTCTGATCTCTAAAGGCTCTGTATTCATAGCTAGCATACCAACTAAAACAAGCTTTTTAACTTACATTTAAGAAATCTAACAGAACTTCCCCAAAATTTAATTTCAAACATACACATTCCATTCCTTCTCAAATGCAGTAACATTATTCTAAGCCCACTCATGCCCTGTTAGACTTGTCACAATGTTTTGAACTGTGTAACATTCTGGAAGAGGCATAAGACTATCCCCTTACCTTAACTCTGTTATATCCTTTGTGTTTGCTTAATCCCTTCTTTCATTTCTTTCATCTTTCAATTAACCAATGGAAGTTTCTTCACTTATCAGCAAAGGAAGTTTCTGAAATAGTACATATGAGAACAAATGAAACCTGTTTTTATCCCCTTCATTTTCTTCCAAGATGACCCAAGTTATATTACTTTTAACGTAATGACTGATACATTTTCTTTATGAGATTTTTCTAGGTGTAATACTCACAGCTGAGCATAATTGACAAAACTATTTCAACCACAGCTTTGAGTATACATTCTTAACAAGTAAAGATTAGTTTTTCTAATCCTGTTGCTTTTCTTGCTAGTAGATATGAACACTGAAAGGCACCTGCAGATTTTCAATTGAAATGTTCACTTTGGGAGCCTACTTACAGATCTGCAGAAAGCGATAAACTGACATTCAGCTCATTCAATACTCTTACATTTAGGAGCAACACCAATTGCTGCACTTTTAAAAATATGAGGCCTTCAGTAACTCCTCTCCAGAGCTGCACTTTCTAATGTCAATTCCAACAAACAATATAATCTAGTGTCATTAAGTGCTAAACTTTTTCACCTAAGGATTTTATTTGCTTAAAAGCAAGACCTGGAAATTACTTGCTCTTTGGTTCTCTTAAAAATTTTCTTTCTATCCACTTTATCAATGGCTTTGCTAACCAGATTTGGAACAGAAAATAGAAAATAAGACATAATAAGTCCCAGTTGAAATTATTCATCATATTAAAGGGGTTTTTTTTATCATTTAATTTTCACTGTATATCCAGTTTTTCAAGTTACTAGAATTTAATTAAATAGTGGAAACATTGCTTCAGTGATATATAGTTTGTATGCATATAGCTCAGAAAGATGGAAACAACTTCAGTTTCTTGGTACTGTTTTTCCCTTTGATTCTCATATGAGAGCAGGGTAAAGAACACCTCTACACTGATCCAAGCAATAGGGAGACCTCAAAGCTATCATAACTGCCATCTTTAGTTTCCTTATTGGGAAAGGTACAATCGGATACATTTTTGAATACTTAAGGCAATACACTGAGGTAGCATATCTCTTCTGACAGAATGAAATTGAAACCTCCTTTCATGTCATGTCTCCATACACAGCTTGTGCTTACTGTAGGACTCCTCGCTGTAGTAGTGTATCTTTACACTGTTGTGGCGTTCAACTTCTTCCGCAAATTCTACAACAAAAGTGAAGATGAAGATGAACCAGACATGAAGTGTGATGACATGATGACGGTAACTAAAACATCACTAGCATGCTTAAAATTTCATCCTGAATAATAAAATGGATACTTAAGGAGAAAATGATAAGTTAGGAGGGATGTTTTTGTTGTTAAATCCATGGGTCTCTTCTTGTCGTTTTGAAAATCTAAATGGTCTTCAAATTCCCTCTGCATTCTCCAGTGGCCTAAACTCAATGGTAGATAGATGACACTCACCAGTATGGGAAGCTACTCTGGATTTTCCCCCTAAATACTGTAGTATATGATTTGCTGCAATGCCTTTTACATGTGAAGATGGCAAACCCTTAAAGTATGACAATAACGAAGTTTTATGACAAACTGGTCGGCCCCGCCAAAACAAGCTGTGTTGTTGCAGCACAAATAAACCCAATTTGTTCCCAATGTTTGCAAGTGTGCAAGCTATTCCTATACTTATTTAGGATATATGAAGTATGTGACGTTATTAGCACTACTTATAAAAGCCTGCTCCAAACTGCTTACAATTAGTAGACATGAAGTAAGAAGTCAAAGGTGAGTAGAGAAGGAGGAAATTAAAACTTATTATGGGTGATAATCTAATGTTACTAATTTCTCTTCTGATTTCCACTTGTTGCCACATGATGTCATTTATGTCATATTAAAAGATACTCTACACATAGTTATGATGGTATGAAGAGGATTTGATTTTCTTACTGTATACAGAAAACAGTGCAAATTCAGGTATTAAAAATGTAACAGCCTTGAGTTTGTGGCCAGCTCATTTCTTCCATGGAATAGTCATTCTATGTCCTGTGTTACATGCCAAAGATAGAATAAAATACCTCAGAACAGAATCATCTTCCTTATTCTTGACCTTTCTTTCAAACACTTAGTGCAAGTCAGATGTCAAATGATAGAAATTATGAAACTGCCCAAGCAGTATTATTTAACTGGTCCCTCTGCAGGCTGGATACAGTGGCCTGGTCATAAAATAGATGTAGGAGTAATTGGAATAATGAAACTATATTACATATTAAACCACTCTACCAAGTTAGGTAAATCAATTCCAAGTTACATTTTTAAGTATGATTAAACTAGTACCAGCATCCTACATCAACAGTAAAGTTGCATTATAAAAATGGATGTATTGTTCTGTTTAGTGTTTGCTTATGAAAGACCAGATTTGTCAGGTTTTGTGCTGATTATTTAACACCAACATTGCTGCCCAATGTGACTTCAGAACAGGGACTGGGCTAAGAGACTTCCCTTGTTTTAACCCACATTGTGTGACTGAAGGTGGTTTACAAGATTTGGTAGCCAGTTCATACAGGAACATCAGTAGTATATTGCTTCAGCAGAAGATTCCTTAAAAGATTTTTCCATGAAGACTTATATGTTAAAAAAATATGACAGACAGCAACATTTCTGAAAAGTCATTTCTTCCGCACCGACCTGAACACAGGCTGTGTTTCCCAGATTGTAAAAAATTTACAATGCACTAAACCAGACATCTAGTATTGCAAAATTATATTATCCAGAAACCACCTAAACACAGATAGATCTACCTGTTGTGAATATGTCACTATTTATTTTATGGCAATATTTGCCAACATTTCTAAACTCCATTACAAGACTTTAAAATAAGTCCTCCGCTTACTCAGAGCAAGCTAGAACATCAGGAATTAATATAAGGGGTAGAATATAGTTGAATACAGCAACAAATACAAGAAAAATGTCCCCCAAATGGTTTTAGTCTGTAGGTAAGACCTAGGGAGTAACAGCTGATGCTGACTCCTCCTCTTAGTAACTGTACTTGAAGATGTAGTTAAGACAGTAACAGATTTTTGGTGCAGCATGTGATACATGACGCATTATGCGTCCTTTGTTAGTAAAATTTTGAAAAGAAATAGCAGAGCAGAATCATTTCTGGTAAATATATCCGTAATTTTCCTCCCTCTTTTTTTAGTGTTACCTGTTCCACATGTATGTGGGGGTGAGAGCTGGTGGTGGCATTGGAGACGAAATTGAGGATCCTGCTGGAGACCCTTATGAAATGTATCGAATTGTCTTTGACATCACATTTTTCTTCTTTGTCATTGTTATCCTACTGGCTATTATTCAAGGTACTGCCACTTACCTTAGTAGACACTGTTAGAATTTAGTTTACTTAATTTCTGCAATGTATTTAAATCATATTCGTGTTTGAGGTAAATTTAGCAGTATTGTTGTAAAGACTTATTTCTGAGCTGATAAAATCATTAATTCTGAAAGTAATAGTTTTATACTTAATTAACAAATAATGCCTTATCTCAAGTACCACACACCGACAAAGCACAAGATATGTAACTTATCCAGGTTACAGTGCTTATGAACACTTTGACAACTACTCAGCAGCAACACAGCTTCTGGAGGACCTGTTCTGTTCTTCCGCTAATAACCATTTAAGCCTGGAGAGCCTTGCTGTAGACACTCCTCATGCCTTTAATTTGGAACTGCCACAGCAGGCAGGGGAATGGAGACTTTCACAGTGGAAAGGGGAAATGACACTGAGAAAGTCACCGTGGCCACGTACCCATTTCCTCCTTCCTTTAGAGGATGATTTGCAGTTTTAATTGGTTTGTAGTTGTGGTTTACAGAGAAGGAGACCTCTCTCCAGTGGCTAACTGTATTCAACATTCATTGTATAAACTGAACTAAGGCCGCTAGGAAAAAACACTGCAAAGACAAAATGTAATACATCTAAACTGAGAAAAAGTTAGGAATGTCAGTCCCCATGAAGATCCAGCTCTATTCTTAGCATGTGGTAAGTGGAGGAATAATGCTTTAAATGCAAAGCAGCATCACAAACTGGCCAGGGGGAGCAAAGTCATCTTTGTTGAACAAAAGCTGGGATACAAGTGTTCTATGAGAAGGAGAATGAAAATGAAATTCTTTCATGGGAACAAAAGAGATGAGATTATGGAAACTAAAACTGACCAAAATATATGTACAGAAAAGCTTTTATACTCTCAAGGTTATACACTTCCATCTAAGAGAAATTACTGCTAGGAGTGCAGTGTAAACAAATGTTAGATGTCTGGAAATTGATAGACTGTAACTTGAACTGTTCAACCTAGATGCCATGTTAAACTCTAAAGACAGTGGAGGATGTCTGACGGACGTTACTGGAAATATGAATGCTGCTAAGTACTGTTACTTTTCCATTTGAAATAGGTTTGATTATTGATGCTTTTGGTGAACTAAGAGACCAGCAAGAACAAGTGAGAGAAGATATGGAGGTATGAGTAACACACTACATTTTTCATTACTCTTACTCACCTAGATTGTTACAGTAGAAATTAATTTGTAACCACAACTTGTATTTCCAGACCAAATGTTTTATTTGTGGAATCGGCAATGACTATTTTGACACAACCCCACATGGCTTTGAAACACATACTTTGCAAGAACACAACTTGGCAAACTATCTGTAAGTATATTTTACTACTGGAATTATGATAAAGAGACCTTTCAGCTCCAGAGTAATTTAGGCGCACACACTGCTGACTATCCTAAAACAGAATTCCGTAGGACTGAGGAATAGCTCCATTCCTTTCTGGTCCTCCCTCTTCTACTCCATGCTGCTGATTATCTTTAAAGAGCTCACCTTACACATGAACTGCCTTAGTGGAATGTGCCCTGAAGGCACACCAACTCCTTATTCCTCTAGAATGAATCCCACATATGTGGAATGATAGGGAAAAATAGTTTGGAAGTTTTGTGACTTCTGGGGGCTTGGTAACCTTGATAAAACCATTGAAAATTAGCCTCAATTTGACAAAAAGAAAACCCAAAGCAAAACATCAAAACAAACAAAACAAAAAGCGCATCTCTGGAAGATTCCAGAAAGATAAGCTATGAAAAATAATGCACAAGTCTGATCCTATAGCTCTTTAGTGACAGTGCGGCTTTCCAAATCCTCAAAGCAATCAGCAGTTGTATGTATTTAGACTGTTGCCCAGAATGCCAAGACAGTGATCTTCTATTCTCACTAGTAAATACAGAACAGATCAAAGAGGATATTGAAAAAGTTCATTTGGTGGCATTAGTTACTCATACAACAGTGATAAGTAGATGAGCGTTGTAGGAGCCAGTAGAACAAAGGGGCTGAACTGGTGGTATCTTATGGAAGCCTGGCTTTGGAATACTGCATCTGAACTTATTAAAGGAGTGGAGTGGCAGTTGCATTATTCCTGTCATAGTGACTGGCACTGCAAAAGCAGTGCACATTACTTTGGTGAGGTAAATTTCCATTAACATCCATAGTTTTACCAGTCTGCAACCTCTGAGCTTACTGTATTGAATTGCTTAATTGGTATATGGGAACTTGTGATTCACAGTAAATTAAAAATGGTCATTTCCTTAATATGAGAATATATAGTGAACAGTCTTTCTAAGCAGGTGGCCCTTTAATTAGACAAATGTTACAATTGCTGCACATTCCTTTCTTTACAAAGAAAGCACATACCAAGTTTAATTCCAAATGCACTGCATCAAAAATGGCTAAGCAAGAGTTGTGTTACATGCAAACAGACCATTGTTAGTACTCTGCCACCTTCCTAATTAGCTAAGCTCGCTATATTTCAGTGATCCCAGGAATCTGAGCTAGATAAGCTCAGCTTTTGAGCTGTACAGCATGAGTGTTTAAAAATCTTGGTGCAGCTGGGTGTTTGCCACACTTGAAACTTCTTGCACAGTAGTCATAGTAACTCGTTCCAAGGTGAGATGCTGGAGCATATGCGTATAGGAGTTGTCATATGCCTAATTCAGGTATTGCTCCTAGCACTGCAATGAAGAACATGCTAAACCGTATTTTTCCACTTCTACAGATTTTACATCTGTTAGCACTTCCGCAGGAGGCGTGCTGGGGGATAGAATTTTCTCCTTTAGCGAAGTACATTAGACACCTACCAGTATCATTACTTTGCGGGCTGGCATAATCTCCTTCACACAGCCCAGTCCAGGAAAGATGGAGTAGGTAAAAGTAGGCAAAGATGTTATGTTTTCTGTATTAATATCTGCTTCATGTGCTTGTTTTAGGTTCTTTTTAATGTATCTCATTAACAAGGATGAAACTGAGCATACTGGCCAGGTGAGTACAAATAATTTATTTTTTTTTTCCTCACCTTTCAAAGTTTTAATCCTCTGCAGCCTTGTGGCTGTGTACCACCAGGTGGAACTGGTGTACTACCAAGGAGTGGAGATGATGCCACCCTCCCTGAGAGTCTTCTGGGAGGGAAAGGGCTGCAGCAGTGTGCTGTCCTCCCCAGCATGAACTGCCAGAAGTCAGTTACTAGTAATCTTACTGTCGTCTTATCTCTGAATTGAAACCCTGAAATATACCAGTTGGAGTAGTTAAGCTACTCTATCTAAATGGATGGATGTTTAGTGTTGTTAGGCCCTAAGTGTAAAAAAAGTGTAAAGAAAATAAATAGGATTTGACTATATCTTATCTCAAATAAGAAGCTGTTATGCAAACACTACAAAAGTATGTTTTCAATGTTTTCCAACCAAAGTTAAACACATTTAACATATACAGATTGTGTACAGGTTTGCTCCAATATAACTAGACTGATTTATACTTACTCACACAGTTTTTTCTAATAGGGTTTAAATTTCAGTAGTACTGAATCAAGAAAAGTGCAGAACAATACTTTTACAACCATTCTTGACTTACGATCTTTGATGTCTTCACAGTTGAACTCCATGGTAATAGGCACAGTACCCAGCTATTGTTAAAGGTTTATCTAGAGGACTAACTACAAGGTGTCTGTTAAAATAAATACTCTTTATTATTTTCAGGAGTCATTTGTGTGGAAGATGTACCAAGAAAGATGTTGGGATTTTTTCCCAGCAGGGGACTGCTTCCGGAAACAGTATGAGGATCAACTTGGCTAATATCACAAAAGAAATTATTTATTCATGAACTGTTAAGATCCAGTATACAAAAAACTTCCTTTTCTTTTCATGGTGTAATTTCACAGCTTGTATTTGCTTTATATGTCTTTAAACTTCAAGACATACCTGAAATTTGACACTATTTCATAGGCTTTTTGTACCTACCACAGATGAAACAGATCTTTTGTCAGAATTTTAATTAGAAAAGAGAAAACTATGCCAGATTAACTTAAGCCTTCCAGTTCAAGCACGGTCTGAAATTTTAACAACTTTAACTAAGTCATTAACCAAGTGTTAGGCAGTACAGTTAAAAGGGCTAAAAGGTGTCTTAATTGCACAACATTTGACATTTAAGAACTTGAACATCAGAGGCCATGCCTCAAAAAAAAAAAAGTTAACTAACTGCTGTCCCGTTTTTTCCCCCCAGTATTTGCTAGTGAATGTATTAAGTTACAGCTTAAAAAGCTTTAAGCCGTTATAAAGAAAACATTTTCAAACACTTCGTCAACCTTGAAACATTAAGTGCCTTAAAATCCCTGTAGACATAGCTATGCAAACTTTTTATTTGTGTTAGTGTTCGAGATGAACAGATCCATTAACTGTACTGCTTTTCTGTCCATCTGTATGAAATTGCACTTGAAGTTTGTTTATATACTACCTTCAATAACAGCTTGTTAGATGCTGCTGTTAAAGACAGACAGACATACACTGTATCAAAATGAATACAACTTAAATCTTAGGCCAAAATAAAACAATGCTCTGTGGTCACCTGCAAGTAGAAGCTGCTAGGATTATGCATTTTTTTTTTCCTCTAATAAAAAGTGCCCACTGCAATAAAGTATTATAAACCAAATATTACCTTTGCTGTCTTCTTTCTTATTCTTCTACAATGTAGAGATGTGGTGTGATGATAGTGACTAAAAACACATGCATTCATTGTTCATTCATAGCTTTATTTTAAGGACTACACAGAGCAAGTACAAGCTGAAATAACTTTCTCTTCGTGTGCTGTAGCCTGCATCTTTAGCAAAGAAAATCCTAATTTCATCACAAATTTTAGACCTTTCTAAGGAGATTAGTCTTAAATTTTTAATGACACCTAAATGAATTTTGGTTGCACAGAATTTTAGGTCCCAGTAAAGAAAACCGGGCCTTTGGCATACTGAAGGTGAAACATAAAGCAAATAACGAGGAGATGAAGAGTCAACTTTCTACTTAATGTTCAGTTATTCACATACGAAAGTTTGAGCTTCAGGAAATCATGCTGTCTAGCCAATCTTCAAGCTCTTCCTCAGTAAGATCTTTAGATGTACTTTGCTGTTGCTGTGATGCTGTACTCTTCTGTTCAGGCATATCTAGTTTTAAAGGATCTAGAAAAGTGAAAAGAGGAGACTTGAAAATCTGGAAACAATGCCATACCAGCTCTTTGTCCTGGATCATTTTGCTTTTTAATGTAGAACTGACTATTTAAACACAGTTATCTCTGTCTTGAAGAATAGCAACTCATATTCCAAAAACAGAAGCAACAATTAAAAAAAAAAAGAGTCACCTTAATAAATTCAACCAGAGCAATGTGGCTTCCACCTGATCCAAGGGGGCCAGGGCCTGGTCTGCAGCAGACAAGTTATAAATCATCCCCCGCCTGGGATCTGTTCACAATCCTGTCCGCTGCAGAGGTTACTTTAATGTACGAGAGGAGCAGGAGGCCACAACAGCAGATTGCCCTGCACGATTATTACAGCATGAAATGATTCCATATTCTAAGGGCATTGTTTTCTTCAGGGATTTACACTGCGCTTCGGAGTGGAAAGCATGACATACCCCTGAAATGAAAGAGCATTTCAAGATTGTCTTCAGTATCAAGGCTTGCTGTATCTCTTGTGGTGACATCTTACACCTTCAACCATCTTGGACTTAATTTTTAAGATAGCAAGAAAATAATTTTTGCTAAAAAAATCTGAGATATTAAACAATCTTTTACAGCATTGTGGACTGGGGGGGATTAGCAAGCCATCTCCATCAGAAGTAACAAACAGTAGTATAACTGCTAGGAATGTACACAAGAGGAAGGGTTTGCCTATTTTTCTGAAAAATACAAATTTCTGTATATGTTTTGTTTCCATACTAAACTGAATTTGGTAAAATCAATGCTAGTAAAGTTTGAAAATAGTGTTTATATCAGACCATTGGAAATAGCTGTCAGTTCTGTATACTATTAGCACAGCGAACAAGGGCTGATGATGTTACGTAAAACCTTTATCTTCCTCTCACAAAAATCCTCTAGCAGTACATTAATTATTTTCGTTATTTTAAATTTTGCTGAATCATAAGACTAATGCTGTTCTGCAGGAGAATTTCTCTTAATGCTTAAAATGAACTGACAATGGTGAAACTTTAGTTCAGTGGGGAGTTAAAACTGCAAAGGAACAAATGGGTCAGAACATAGCCCTGGATCACTGAAATGCAGTTCGACAGAGATGATGACAGCAGTACTGTTGACTGGCTAATCAAGAGTTCAAAAACATCAACAAAATAGAGAGAGCAATGAAAATTAAATCAGAACATGCTGGGGAGAAGAGAAATCTTACCTTTGTCCTTAATATCCATTTTCAAATCTTTCTTAGTTGATATGTTGTAGGATAATGCATCTGACACAGGTTTCTTTTCTGTACTAATGGAAGCATCTAGATTTAGGAGAAGATCTAGTTCTTCATCCAAATGGTCAGTCTCTTGCTTTGGTACTGGACGGGCTCTTTCAAATATTTCTGTTCTACTTGCCCTAGGACCACTTTTACTTCCAGGCTCTGATGGAGCAACAGAATCACCAAGGGGATGGGAGACCAACGCTATTTCACTTTGAGCCAGAGACTTTTGGAAGAGAAGTGCTCTCCTCTTGCTGTCTTCAATAATCTTTGATTTCATCTGTGGGAGCTCTACAGGTGTTGATGCCTAAGAGTACAAGAAAGGACTTGAGTCTTTCTAGTGATTAACTCCATTTTTACTATTCTGTCTAAATTGGACTGTAATTCATGCTTCCTACATTTTATCATTTAAGAAGGTACAGTGAATTTCAGCAGAATTGAAGTCAAAATAATTTTACAGAAGCAACTACAACATACAAACACCTTCTATCCCTTGTTAAGGAATATGAGACTGTACGCTAAATCAGCAAGTTCCACTCTTCCACAAATACTTCCTGAAGAGTTACTTTTCTTTAATTCTTCTGTAATGAAATCACGCCAATACTCTGAATTTTGGAATGACTGAAGCCAGAATTTGGCCAGAAACATTATCCCATGTTAGGCCTTCCCTCCAAAATTCCAGTCTTGAAAGCAAATCATACTACAGGTTGCTTAAAATCATTTAGTAAAAGTTACAGTATATAGATGTATATTTTGAAAAATGAAAATAAATTACAATACATTATCAAATAGTGAGACAAGAAATGGCAACTCATTATTTAACTATGGAACACAGATGATGCTTTTATCAGGCTGCCTTGGCATTAAAAACACTACAGCGTATCTGATGACCACATCACCTGTCAGAATGACAAGGCAAAGATTAAATGCCATAACACACACTTTATAACCCTCATTAAAGTTAAAAGACCATGACTAGAACTCTTAAGAAGAAAACTGTATCTGAAAATAACATTTTTTTTGCAGATTCCCTTACACATCACATCTGCAGACACAGTTGAGCTCCCTTAAGAAAGAGCACAGTTGTGTTGGTCACACTTTATGCAACTCCAAACAAATGAAATTTCTTCTGTAAGGGTCATGATTCTCTTTCCTTGCTTGAGCAGATGGATTTTTTTTAAAGAATTTTGGTTTTATATTTAAGTCTCATTGGTTCTTTTGGCCTTACACAAATATTTTATTTTTTACAGCCCAAAGAAACATTTTTTCCTAATATTTTTTTCTTTTCTTGTCATCAGAGTATAAATGACATTTTCCTCACCTGTTTGGTTGACAGTTCTGTCTGTTCGAACACAGATCTAAATTTGATTCATGGAATAAACATGTCTGCTATTAGCTATATAGAAGAGTAAATCACAATTAAAATAATTAACAGGAAAGAATGTGAAAGCACTTTGAAAATTTTGGTGCAGGCTTTTATGATACAAAATACAAATACTAAACGAGTGCAATCAGTCCACGTCAAACACTTTGATACCTGGCTTCAAATCTAATGTGCTGCACATCAAAGCACTTTGTTTAAAGCCAACAAAGCACAAAAAGTGCTGATAGGGGGTATCCTGCATTACATGCCATTTGACATGCCAGTCTCAAGAAATGTATTTACTTATAGCATACATTCTACTTACGTTTGAAGACCCAAGCTTAAAGTAATCATTCTCGTACAGATTGTTTCACTTAAAATATTGCATTTTCTCATGGAAATTCACAGCATTACCTGCACAAGGTCAGCAGCTACATTCAACCTCAGATATAGAGGCAATTCCTGAAGAGCCTGGGCCAAAGACTGGTAGTCAACAGAAAGTGCAGATAACTGAAATATAATTCAACACTCAGTATCCTTGCATTAAAAAAAACCCCAAACAAACCAGACCACAAACTAATAATTACTTTAACCAGTTACATTCCCCTGTTCCACACATTCAAGGAATGTAAAGAACAATCTAATGAAATACAGGAATTCATAGTCTTAAATTACACATGTACAAAGCAGTTTAGCTAAATTATCACATAAATACATACAATGCAAATAATTGCTTAAAGGTTTAAAAACAATGGAATGCTCCTTAGGCAACACCTCAAAAATCCAAAGCAGGAAATAGTTCTACAAGTTGGCAATGTCATCAGAGGCTTTTCCAACTCAAACATTTTTTTTACTCTGTGAATTTTTCTATGCAGTGGGAATTGCCATTCTTCAATGAGTTGCTGCTATTTTCTATGCAATCCAACCATGTAGCTTGTATGTAGCTCTACTGGTTTTAGTGTCTAAACAACATGGCCCTTTTTATACTTCCCCATCTTTTAAAATGTTGCTTTGATGCTTACAAAAGCAACAAACTACAGTTGCATATGCTTCTAAATATTCAAGATGTTCAAGAAAGATACTCTACTGTTGCCTAGTTGCTTAAAAGGCAGAGCTGTCACTTATTAACGTGACAGTTATTGGAATTTCCTTTTCTCTTGACCCCCTTTTTTTCTGGTTGTAAACTATTAAAACCAAATTTTTACAAAATGGGCCAGTAATATTTTATGTTTTTTACAGAACACCCTGGACTTTGGTGGACTTAAACAGATTTTGAGCTCACAGTACAGCAGAACACTCTGAGCACATTCATCATTGATGAAAAATATAATTTAGTACCCAACATATATTTTAAAATCTGACAACAAAATGCTCAAGTTCAGTCTATCATTTTCATGGAAGCAGAGAAGCTGCTTCTAAATCTAGTTTAGAGACAAAAATTTGTACTGTGGTATAGACTAACACAGACATCTAGAAGTTCAAATATTCATAAATTAGGAGAGAGTGTTTAGTGCCATATCGTAAGAGGTTTGTCAAAGGAATTCACACTGCTCCCAAAAGCCAGTCAACAGGATGGCTTTTGACACCTGCACACACAGCAAGAATGAACATCAAAGTCACAGTGTGTTCTGATAGCGTATTTACAAAATTAAAAGAAATTTTAAAAAGAAACAATGCAGTTTCTTGTATCCAAACTCTGGTTCTGGTGTCCTGTAACAAGACTAAAAGGACCAAACAAATGTCCAATGGCTAGAATTTTTCTTCTTTACAACCAACATTTTTACAATGGATTAGTGATCACCATCAAAGCTGATTCACTGGTACAGGTAACCTCAAAAAGTCTTCAGGCAATTCTTGTACCCCAGAAATGAACAAAAACTTCAGAAAACACAATTCTTTTGACAGACAGTGAAGATCAAATATGGCTTCTGCACATTTGCAAAGGATAAGAAAATCATATGAATCTGGTAACATAAAAAATTGTAAAAAGTCAAATATCATTGAAAAACATTTAAGCACATGTGGGAAGAGCAAAGTGCACTTGCAAAAAGATTAAAGTGAATGAACATTGTAAATTACAGTGAAACTGGAAAGAGGGAAAAGGAGGAAAGTCTGAGGATGAAGGAAAAGAGGAATTTTAAGAAATACCATAATGGAAGAAGGAATTCAATATCCAGTATAGATTTCATTAAAAGCGGTGTTTGAATAAAAACCAAAGGGATCAAAGCAGTATTCGATAAACACATCATGACATACATATTTATTCAAGAAAATAAGTAGAGGTATACTTTGTTGCTGTAATTGCCATTTTTTTACTGATAATTCCAAATTACTATTAGCTGCTTGATTTTTAAATTGCAGACCATGTTCTGAAACATTTTTACTGCATGTTATCAATATAACACAGTAAATCCAGATGTACCTTTTGTAACAATGAGTGATAAGTCTTAATAAACTGAAAATTCATTACTGTTGATGTCACTGTTACACTTCCATTCGATTTGAAACCGATGCTTTGACATTGCTTTCCACAACTAAAAGGGAATGGGATCTATCTAGTCATTTGGGAACTATTTTTATGCTTTTTCTGCTTTATTTTGTTCCATCATAATCACTTCAGTTAACAATTCTCTAATCTTGTACGTAATGGCAAGAACTAGAAACAGGTGAGCTAAGAGGCAAAGGCAAGGAATTTGGCTAAGTGGATCTAGGATAAAAATTAGACCTGGATCCAGCTTTCAGGGAGAAGAAAGATGGGCCAGAAACACAAAGGAGGTAACAGCCTGAAGACCAGAGATAATATGAAAAATTAGACAATGCTATGAAACTGTCTGGGCTAAAATAGGAAATCAAAAGAAGGGTAATGGTGACTAGCACAGTAAATTATTTCAAATTGACATAAGAACAGTGAAAGACAGGAAGCAGTTTGAAACAACAAATCTGGATGGGACGGGACAAATGACAGCAGTTGGGTAGGGACAGAGGCAGAAGGCAGTGCCCACCACAGCACACTTCAGAGTCAGTGAGGGCCATGGGACCAGCTCCAGAACCGTGCAGTCTCATCACTGACAGCCAGAAGAGTATTTGTGAAATCCACTGGCAATGTGCAACTTCACCCTGCTCACAACGGCTTTAGCCATTCAGAAACTAATGAATGTGTTCCAATCACCTAAATGCTATAATGACAAGCCTAGGAGGAAATTATGAAGAAGTTAATATTCCAGATACTGACAGCCTGCACACTAGGAGCTGGAGGAACTGATAAGAAAAAAATACACAGTCATTGAAAGACCGTATCCCACTGAACAAACATATGATGGTTTAAACAAATGCTGCACTTGGTTTTATTTCCTCATTTTAATTTGACTTTGCAACTTTAAATATCACTTCCCAGGGAATAATTATTGTCAATATTTTAGGAAATAAATAGCAAACTTATAAAATTTGAAGACACATTTTTGTTTTAAGAAACACTCAAGCACAGTTTTGCAGCAATTTTAAGAAAACCTTGGAAGACAAAAATCATTTCTCTTGAAATAGTTCAGGTGACTTATGTGAGGAAGACAGCTTCAGACATTAAGACACTTTCCAGTATCCTGATATAGAAAATGGCAAACCTCTATTGCTTTGAGCCTTTTTATTCCAGCAAGAAAAGAAACTAAAACACGCTTCACAGTCTATACAAATATATAGGTTTTATCATAGTAATTTTAGTAAACTATTTTCTCTTGAACACAGCTAAAAAAAAAGGAAGGCTGACTTGATATGTCGGTAAAGCAAAGTGACAGTCCCTTATTTGCCTTTCACTGTATGGATTTGCTTGTTCTTTTCTTCCACATTACTTAAAAACCTAGCCTGCTGCTTTGATTAGTATTCAACAGAAAAGAAAAAAAAAAAAAAAAAAAAAAAAAAAAAAAAAAAAAAAAGAAAAAAAAAAAAGAGGACAAACTTAAGAGCCTCCAGCCTCAGAGACAAATTAATAAAAATATACAGAATGAAGAGTGCTAGTATTGTATTAAACAATTTGCTACTGAAAGCACAACTGCCTAGGTATTTTGTGCCAGGTGATTATCCATATAATCTCATCTGAATGACAATTCTGTTACCTGCTTATGCCATATGCTTTCTCTATGCCATTCTTTCTCATCAGCAAATCGGAACTGTGCAAAGGAATCTCCTACAGAAAAGAAATTAAAAATATATTTATTTTTTAAAAATAACAAGCTCTCTCCAAAGTTCCCAACCCTACAGAAGTAAATTCAATCAATAAATACACCTTCAACAAATTTGCATTTAACTTTAAAGCTGCTTGCATTCATTAAACTTCTTTAAGTCAAAGTTCTATAGAAAGATCTTTCAATCTCTTGTTTGCAAAACAGCGCTGAAAAAGGTGCAACAAATTCAAAACTGAATGAAGAGGTCCTAGGTGCCGTGTCAAGAAGCATGATTTTCACTGCAAAGTCTGCTTTGGACAACATACTAGGAATAGGCACAGTATTCACAGAGGCGTTTTTACTGAACAGCTTTCAAAGTGCTGCAGACAGGCCTTCTCTTACCAACATGCAAACCTCTCTTAAAATGGGTTATATGGATATAATGTCCTAAAACCAGTTTGTACCGGCCAAGTAAAGACTTCTTGCTGTCTGGTAGCTAAAATCTCCCGACTCTCTCTTCCTTGAGCTAGTCCCTACTCCAGCATGTCATCAAAGGCACTGAACCCCGAACTCCAATTCACATGCATAAAGGACTGAATGAAAAGAAACCTTAAGTAAGGCTAATCAAGCTACATATTGTAACCTTAGTTACAGGATCTTCTGACCTCCCAACCACATTTCTCCAAGACAACAGAAACTTTCTCTTACTACGGGGGGTCTTGGATCATTATTCTGGTTTAGATGTGATATTTCTATTGCAATACCATGCTCAGTTGTGAAACACAGTCCTATAAGTTTACTGAAAAAACACACAAGAATTCCAGGAAATCAAAAAAATCAGTAATCTAGAGTAATGGAAAACAAAGATGTTGCTGATGCAGAGTATGAGACATGTGCCTTACATCATGCAGTTTGAGAACAAATAGCTTTTTCAGGACCTTTATTTAAAAACAAAACCAAGAAACAACCTGTTCAATTATTGTGTGAAGGAGATCAAATTTGATCCCAAGAATTGAAGATCACCTATAAATCACTATGATTTAGTCCAGCAGTTAGTTGAGAAGCAACAGCTCATTCTTTCCCAGCCTCTAATAGAGAATGAACGTGCTAGAAGTTTTCAGTGGCATTACCAACAACTGAGCATCTAACTTCCATTTAGGTCTCAATAGCCTACCTGCCATTCACACCTTTGACAATTCCTGAATCATGCCCTTAACCCTGCATGAAAAAACTGAACATATAATGTGCTGTCCCCAAAACTGGTTTCTTTACCATTGTGTGCCTGTCCCAAAACACAGGGGAGTTCAGCCTTTCAGTAATTTTACTCAATAGTGCAACCGTCAGCCAGCTTCTGTTTTGCAAACAGAATGAATAAGCAGCAAAATAGCATAGTAATTGGCATATTTCTTTGCCAAACAATAAAAAAGGGAGAGCTAACCATTTCCCAGCTGGAATGTAAAATGTATTGGCCATGGCTCTTTTTTTTTTTTTTTTTTTTTTTTTTTTTTTTTTTTTTTTAAATATCTAAAGTGAATTTCTAATTCATTGCATTTCATATACGCTCACTGGGTATGCAATGTACTCATACACTAATCACACTGTGTACCTGGCATGTCCATCATCATCATCACCATCTTCAGAACTATTCCAGCTAGAAAGTGACCTTCTCAGCTCAGTATTTATATAGATATCTATGACCATTACTATTCCCAGCTTGAATCTGCATCTCCCTGTTTTCATTAGGTTTATCCAACACTGTTCAGCATTACTGGGTTGATCAGCAGCTAGGCTTTGGTTTACATTCAATGCCTCCACATATTTGGAAACAACCAGTGTCAAACCGTAGAAGCGCAAATAATTAAAATCAATCACTGAAATGAACATTTAAATATCCAAGAAGCAGCCTAATTTTAAAAAAGTTTAGTTTGTATAATTCACAAACACCACATTCCATGACAGCCAGGTATGCTCAGCTGTATAGAAAAATAAGATACTGTCATCATGTATCTATCTGCAGATGCAAATACTTCACTTGAGCACTCACAGTTGACTTACTGCTGACAAAGATGCCTTCCTCTTCACTGCACATGGCACAACAGTAAGTAAATCACTGTTTCAAAACATCTAGAATAGTGCTAATAAGTAATAACTAATGCTGAAAATTAAAGAAATCCAAATTCATTCTTCAGCCTCATGACTTTAAAATGTGTACAAAAATGAGCAAATTAATTTATGTTTTAACAACTCATATTTTAAAGGCTCAATTTAGTTACGTATGTAAAGAAGTTTTAATGAAAAATAATTAAATCAACTGATCCTCAAAGTCTTCATAGTATTAGAACAAAGGCATAAGTATTTTCTTCCAATATCCTCAAGACTCTTGCAGTTACTTCTCATGCTGTGTCACAGAGGAAATCAGAGTTTCCTCTGCTCTTATAAAGGAGTAAAATTAAACTAAAGGATTAGTCAAATGCTTTCAATATCTGAGAACAACCAGATGTAAAGCAGCTAAACAAACCTACTTCATCAGGAAAATCCACTGGGACCAAGAACTGGTTTATGATTCTCCACATTCACAAAGCTGGTAATAACAGATCCTCGGTTTGATATTGTATTGCTGAATTAAAGGGTATGACTTAAACCGTAGTTTAACCAGGGTCTTTAAATAAGTTAACAAAGCATGCCTTTCAAATGGAAAAGCAATAACTACAATTCACAGTAGCATATTGAATGCAAATTAGGTTAATGAGAATGTTGGTCTAACCAATTATCTTTTCACAAATTCCTTTACCCTGAAAATAACTTCCTTTTATGCCATGAATACTAATCAAACATGCAGTGAATCCGAGTTCCTTCCAACATAATAAAATACTTTTCTTCATGTGAATAGTTTTTATGTTACTACAAATATCACTTGGACTTCAAACACAGCGTAGCTAAAAATACTGCATTCAAGTAAACTTCACACATCGTCGTTGGTAACATTCATAATAAACCTTAATATTCTTTCTGGTATAAAATCCAACTTTATTATGAAGAACAACAGATCCAAACCGCCATGCTTTTCTACCACTTGAACAGATTTTAAAGCTAAATCAACTAATTTAAATAGAACACATGTTTCATAGCCTTATTAGCCCAATTATTTCTTCAGGATCAAACAAATCTTACCTGTAATCTTGTTTTGCTGATTAAGGATACTAATTGAACTCAGACACCAAAGTGAAAAGAGCAGGCGTATTTTACTGGTGATAACCAGTGTAACAGTGCATTACAGAAAGCATGCAGTCAGAAAAAGCAGAATAGTGCTCTTAAAGCAGCAAACAGGAAAATACAGGGTAATGCATCAAATCATTACTACATGGAGAGAATAGTGATAAAGAAAAATACATCACCACTTGCATATATTATCATCATCCATATCCACTGATGCTGGGCAGCCCCGGTCACAGTGAGGGTTTGCAGAGCCTGTCCCGGCAAGGGGGAAATCCTCCGGGGTGCGTCCACCCATAGGTGAGGCTGCCAAAGTTGCTGTGAGCGGGTCCGGCCTTATATACCAGAGATTGGCAGGCCAGGATAGCTGGCACCTTTGTTTTGAGCTGAAAATTTCTGGTTCCATTCTCCTGTTGGATTCCACCCAAAGCCTGGCCAGGGCTCAGGAGGGGTAACCAAGGGAGTTTCTAACAAGGCCAAATACTTGGGTTCTCTGCCTTGAACAAGGCTAAACCAGGGAAGTTGGATACATTCTCTCCTCACTCCTGATTCTATTTTGTCTAAGCTGCCTCTTTCACTAGCGAGTTTACATACTTTGTTAATGATTACAGACTAAGTTAGCAGCTTCAGCTTGGGGCCTGTTGTTCAGGGTTCAGTACTTCAATGCTTTAGCACTTTTTATATCAGTATAAGTGCGTTGTTATAACTTAGTACAATACCTACTAGCACAATGGTTTCAGTTATAAAATATACAGGATTCATCTATAGGTCAAGTCTGGCTTGGGCTTGTTGTCCAAGCCTTAGCACTTCAAATCTGTAATAAATATTTTCCAATCTGTGAAATGAGTCTAAAAGTTGAAAAAATTGAAGAAAAATGGTTTTCAGTAGGAAAACTGACGGATCAGTGGAATGATTTTGTTCATTTTAACTCTAATTCACTAAAAACAAAAGACATAAAACATTGCTGTCAACAGAGGAAAAATACTCTGTAGTCTTAGAGATTTTCAAATTGAAGGGGGAACAAACAGTGTAACAGGATCCTTCTAAGACTGCTATGACTGTAAAGAAGCACTGCAAGGGCAAATATAAGACTATAAACCCATTTTTTAAATCAGTTTACCTTATCCTAAATAAGCACCAATGGTTTTGATAAACTTATTTGGGGTTTTCCAACCTTTGTTCATCTCCTTTTTATTTTATTTTGGGAACTCACGCCTCTGCCTACAAATCTGTTTAGTCAGCTAAATAATATGCAATTAATTTATGATGGCAGTATTCAGCTGAACCAAATAAACCACAACAGAAAACTAGAACTTAGTTACATTTGGGAAACCAATAATGAGACCTAAAGTATCTCAAAAAGCACCATCTACTACACTAGTCAAAGGCCTTCCTGAGTTACTAAATTGAGAAAATTCTCTCCAAAGAAAGTCCATCTTTACGATAGGTTTTAAGCAATTTTTCAGGTTTATAATGCAAGAGATACACAGTTCATCACTATTTACAAAGGATATAATATCAAAACAAGATAATCGCCTGTTCCACCAGCATTCTTCATGCATTTCAATAATTAAGGAAGCAATAGATGTTATTTTTAAGGTGAAAAAAAGAACCAGATCTTCCTGTCTAACACTTTCAGCAGGGAAAAACAAGCTGAATTGCAGAGTTTAGGCATGAATGATGCTTGAAATCTTATCCACCATCAGTCATTCATGTAAGACTGACCAACTCTCTTGAAGAAGGGGGGGAATATATGCAACATATTCTTCCCCTTTTAATTGTGCAGGACTTCATGTAGAAGGTCCAAGAG